GCATAGTATGTATCCCCGGGATCTCACGTGGGTGCCTTTTTGTTTGTTTTATTGAAAGGAAACTCAAAGGAAACTGTTACCAGGGTCTTCTAGATTTGAGGCAAGCAAATGTTAGGAGAGCAAGGTATCCAGCTGGACAAAGAGTCTTCACATTCCAAGCGGATATTGCGCCTCCAATGGCCAAAGTCCATTCTGCAGTTTGAGAAGTCCCATTGCGGATCAACTTTTTACAGGTGTGTGCGAATGGTTTCCCATGAGCCATCGTCCAAAACTGGCAGGCGCATAATGAATATCGGGCAATTGGAGGAGCTCTGTCTGTCACGATCCTGGAAGGAAAGTCTCGGCATGCGTTGTGAAAAGCGAGGCTTAACGGTTTGGGCCAAAAACAACGCGATGGACACCATGCTGATGCCGAGGCTACGAAGAAAACAATAAATACGCGCAGCTTGCGTGCTAAACACCCGGGCTTCAAGAACAACAGTCCCTATGTAAATCCTTTCTTTCTTCGCCTTCCCTTGCTTCTCTTCCTCCGTCAACATGCCCCCGACCCAAGCCCAAAAATTCCTCGCTTGCCCAAAGGACCTGGAAGGAAAACGGTTCACTGGCCAAAGGGAAAACCATGAAAACCCAAAAGCATCAAGCCGTCGATTCACTTCGAGCTGAGACTCCCTTCCCCAACTCCCAGGTCTCCCCCCGAACTTTCAACCTCCGCCAAACCTCCCAGCCCCCAAATTCCTCCCTCCCGCCGCCTCCCGCCTCCCACCCCCCCGTTTCGGGGCTCTCGGGGCCGTCGGGGCGTTTCGGGGCCTGCAGAAACGCCCGGGCCAGGGGTTCGTTCGTGGGGTCTGCGATGAGGCTCAGGATGGTCAGCCGGTTCAGCAGCTCCGAGATCTCGGGAGATCTCCCCAGGCCCCAAGTCGCGAATTCGCGCGCGAATTCGAATTGAAATCGGAGGCGCGGGAAAAAAACATCCGCGAGGAGAAGGATCCGGGCAGGGACCAGTCACGCACCAAAACGACTGGCCTTCTTTCAGCTGGAAGGTTCAACCAACACATCCTCAAGCTCCGGAAGCAAAATTTACAGCTTTCGTGTTGTGACTTCTGGCAAAAATATCCTTCCCAAAAAATTGAATTGTGTCCCATCTCGCCTCCGCCACCATGCGAGCTGCCCACAGGGATAGAACCTGCCGAGATTCCAACTTGGGGCGTGCGAAACATCCTCAAGACTGATGTGGGGGATGATCAAAAGGTCCAATAAGACATGGGATTCCCATTGGGGGAAGCCGCTCAAAAAGATGATGTGTCCCACGAAATGGGAACAGTTCCGGGCCCTACCCGCATGTGGGCCTAAGGTGAGGTGAGCACAGCTCGCGTCCTCTGATTTCCTCCCAAATTTGGACAAGTGTTTTAGCGGCGTAGCGGTCGCAGCAGGTCCACCATGTCCAGCGTTCCACTTTTCGACCCCGAGGTAGACTGACACCCAGGAGCATAGGTGTCCTTTTAGGGGAAATAGATGGATTTCCCTGGTAGATGATCAAACCACCAGGTAAACCAGGAATCGCCATCTATTTTTCCAGCAAAACAACCAAAAAGGACACCTATGCCCAGGGGTTTTCCTTTTGGGGAGTTTCAACCATCGTGTTGAAGTCCACTTGCAGTCTCCAGCGTGCCATCAAGTGCACGTAGCCCATGGCGTGCTGCTTCACGCACAAGTCCAGCGCATCTTTCTGCACGTCGTTGTCCTGGCCGCGGCGACTCAGCCCGCGCCTTCCAAAAAATTTGCCGTTGTCGGTAAAGCAGGCTTTGGCATCTGTTCTTCAGACCTCAAAAGTTCATTCGGATGGTACTAGAAACACAGCTTGTTGGCTTTCCCGGTTTGCGCTTTGTGGTGCAAACAAGTTCAGGAATGGGATTGGCGACAGCCTTGCAGCTTCCCACATCGGGATCTTCAACATAGGTTGTCCTATTGGAAAAAACAGATGGCAAATGATTAGATGAATAGAACCAACCTGAAACCAGGGCCAGCTATTTTCAACCAAACCAACCTACAAAGGACACCAAAAATTTATTCAACTTTGGGGACCGAAGCGGACGAGCCTTGGACAAGGCGTGCGGCGGATCTTGCTCCACGGCCTGCTGAATAACCTGCCGAACGCGCAGGTTGTTGCTTTTTTGGTTTTTCGGGGGGGGGGGGGGGCAAACAACAACTCGATCGGAACAGCAAACAACATATGGGGGGTGATCAATGCTCCGTCTAGGGCTATTTCGGTGGTTTGTTCAATGATCACCTCATGGGACCTTTTGATCAACCCCCATGACTGACTGATACACTGCAAGACGGTTCATGTGGGAAGTCCCTCCTCCTTGAAAAAAATTGATGACCTACCAAGAACCGTGGACTAACAGTGGATCCACTGGTGATTGCGCGTGAAAAGAATGAAAAACTTCAGCCAATCCCAATGCATCAGGTTGCACCTTGTTGCAGTCAGCCTCTCATTTCATCTGGCAAAACTGCAAAAGCAGTGGCGGAGATCCAACATATGATGCCACAGCTGACCGGCAAAGCAAACCAGCACCATGGATCCCAACGAACAGCCTCTGCAAAGCACTCCAAAACGCCAGCAACAATGTAACAACAAAGGTCTACCAAATGATAAAGATGCATGTTCTTTCCAGGACCTACCACCATCTCCAGCGGCCCTGCTGCATCTGCATTAGATCATTGGGGGTCCCTCTCAAGAAACACAGCAACTTTGCATTTCGCATGCCGCGCTTTGGTTGGCTTTCTGTGGCAAAAAATCCGAAGTGACAATCCTTTCAGCAGTCGAGTGTCCTCACGAAACTGCAAGTGATATTCTCCGGAACGAGGGGAACTCAATCAGACCAGGACCAAAGCAATGAGCCATGCTGGATTGCTCCGAAAGCAGATTCATGCAACACATTGCTGGGGTTACACGGGTGGCTTTTTGGACGGAAATTGATTGGGTTGGTGTGGAAGAGAAGCCAAGTGAAAACCGATAATTGTGGGGTACCCAAATTTTAAGACAAACCCCTGCATCAGTCCCATGCGCCTGCATGTAGGCACCGACGCCCTCGTCAAATGGGGCCGCTAGCCCGTCCACGGTGGTGATGTACAAGTGGTACGTCCTTTCGCAAACATCATGGCTCGACACGAGCCCATGCTGCCTTTACACGGGAGGACCATCGGGGAAAACCGTCAAACAAATGCTGTTTCCCACTAAATGAGAAAAGTTGCCCTTGGTCATTTGGGGCCCCTAGACGGAATATTGATCACCCCCCCATATGCCAGAAGTCTTTGACAATCGGCACCTTCCAACTGAAGGACCAATTCGTCTTGCCTCCCAAGTCTCTGCAGTAAATACTCACCTGAAACCCAAGCCCATCCGGACCAACGTTCACGTTCACGCGACCAAGGCACAGCCCAAATTGAAGGAAGAGGGAGGCAATGTGGAGCCTCGGCGCGAGGAAACGTCATCCAAAACTGTTGGGCCCGCGCCCCGATCGCCTGCCCACATTCAAGCCACCCGAACGGAGAAAACACACACCATTCGCCCAAATTATGTGGACGGACGAAATCCATCTCGCACCACCATTCAGGAACCTTGGCTTCTGATTCCCCAACACAAACAAAACCAATGGTTTCAACCATGGCTTCAAAGTGGTGCATCCACAGTATCTCAAGAAGATAGTGAGAAACTCCCGCAAACGTTCTTCCAACTGTTCCAGGAAGATTCATGGCGAACTTCTCACACATATTTGACTGCGGTTGATGTCTGCTGCTCTCTGGGCGGCACATGGTCAAACATTTCTCCGATACATCACACGAAAACAAGACATTCACTAAAGGCACAGCTCAATGAACATACAACCGGATTGCACAACTGCTCATTCAAACTTCAAACCGTTCGCTATCCGAACATGTGAGCCACAATCAAAACCCGGTATTAAAATGGTGAACCAGAACCATGTAAAAAAACATTAAGAAGGCGGATATCCGCAGCTATTTATGGCTGGGATTGGCCCTTACTAACCTTCATACCCGGGTTTTGATTGTGGCTCAGGTCCAGTTCCAAGTACAGTACAGTAGATCGGACACAACCCAAGGACGAAGACCCGTCACCCACGACCGGTCTACATCGAGCGGTTGGCCAAGCGGCAGAAAGACCAGCACCAGCTGAAGCACCTTTGGGTGCAAAGCAACAGGGTCACGGGGGAGCACCTAAAATTGAGTCAGAATCAAAACCCGGTACGAAAATGGTCTACCCAGAACCATGTAAAAAATTAAGAAGGCGGCCGCAGCTAGTTACGGTTGGGATTGGCCCTTACTAACCTTCATCTACCCGGGTTTTGACTGTGGCTCAATTTCAGCACTGGAAACGACCTGCCGGGCCATCGCCGCCCAAAAACTTTGAGCGGCAGCCAATACAAAATGCCTCCAAAACCCTCGCCTTTTGCGCATGCCCCCTCGCCCTCCCCGGCACACAAATGCAAACACCCCTGCCAGATGTTTTGCGCCAGGCGGCTTCCTGCGCGAGCTCCTGAGAGCAGCTTGCCGTGCCGTGTTCTGTTTGGGATGGATTGGTGGTGTGGGTTTCAGCTAATTTCGAGGTCCGACCCATGTACTTAAGGCCTGTTCCTGTGTCTGCACCTCTGACCGGAGCACGTGTCAGAACCGGGACACGATTGAATGTTTATTTTCGTTTTTGGGCTCTCACGAAAACAATGCGAAACCCGGCTGCCATATAGAAAAGCACCAATGGGCGCCAACTACTTCGTCAAAGCAAATCACTGCTGGAAGGGCAGCCTGCTAGGAGCTGGGCCAAAGCCCAGCTTTCTCAATTTGTTCCAGGAAACGTCCCTGAAAGTGGCCACACCAAACCCCTCATACCCAATTCCCCGGCATGATCGGGTCGCCTGAGCCAACCCCTCTTACAAAGAAAAGCACTAGTTAGGCACTGCTAAAATTCCCTAAGTCAACCCCCGTTGAAACGCTTAGATTGGGGGGGGGGGGGTGAGCTTAAGGGATCGCAGCGGCCAAAATTCCCTAGGTGAACTAGCCTAAATTCGAGGGGGGGGGGGGGTGAACTTATGAGGTCGCAAATCCTTAGGGGTGGTGAACTTAGACGGATCGCAAATCCTTAGGCGCAGCCTAAATTCCTTAAGCGTAGCTTACATTCACCGGGGGGGAGGGGGGGGAACTTAAGGGATCGCAAACCCTTAGCGCATGGTTGACTAGCTTCAACTCAGGGGGGCGAAGTTGGAGAATCGCGAATGCGCAGGCGCAGCGAAAATTCCTTAAGCACGTTTAATTGGTGAACTTGAGGCAAATCCCTAGGCGCAGCCGAAATTCCCTAAATGCAGCCAAAATTCCTCAGGTGCAGCCACAGTTCCTTAAGTACAGCCAACAATTCCTTGAGTACAGCCAAAATTCCTTAAGTGATTCCTTAAGCGCAGCTAAAATGAGTTACGTGCAGGCTTAATTAGCTTGAATTCAGGGGGGGGTGCACTTAAGGATTTGGCCCCTGCCCGAGATGAAAGCTGCTTTTGCATTGCGAAACACTAAATTCACCGCCATTTTTAATCTCGGGCAGGGGCCAAAATCCTTAAGTGCACCCCCCCTGAATTTAAGCTAATTAACCCTGCACTTAAGGCATTTTGGCTGCGCTTAAGGAATGTTGACTTAAGTATTCAGGATTTTTGGGGAATTGTGGCTGCACTTAAGGAATTGTGTTGGCATTTGCGGGGGTCCTCAAGGAATTGCTCATTGTCTGAAGGATTTCTTGGCGGTGTGTCCTGTGTATTTTAACTACTTAATCCAATTGGTGGCTGTTCACACAGCAACTGTGATGACACAAAAGTTTACGGACAGCTGGCTCCTGGTCTTGTATCGCTTCATTTGTCTGGCCTGAACCAAACATTGGAAAACCCCAAACCAAGGTCATTTCATTAGGTGTGTGCGATGCCATCAAGTCCGTCTTTTGCATTGTTCCCAAGCAAAACGCTTTTTCGGGCTGACACAATCCATTGGGTTTCAGCAGCCCTGAAAACAGCCCCACCCTTAAGTACACGGGGCCCTCCTTAAACCCATAATTTTGAAAGCCAACAATTGGTGGGTTGGTTTCCTCCCCCTCCTTGAAGGCCAAGCAAACCACCGAACCAGCCAAGCAGTCCGCGGTCTTCGTCGAAACGTCAAATGAGGCAAGAACTGCAACAATCAACTGGAGGGTCAAATAAGGTCGGCTGCTGTGCTGAGGCATGCCGTTTCGAAACACAGCACCTGAATTCGTTCCCTTAAGGCATGCCAAGGTGTGATACAAGCCTGCTAGCGGGAAGACAACAAATCCCAATGGAAAGCAGCGAAGGATCGCGAACGCCCCAACATAAGACTGGCTGGTTTTCCGAACCATGGCAAACGCGCTCCTATTGAACTTTGGAGTTATGGGTTAAACTGAAACCACCAGGAATTGGACCGCATTGTAAATTGTCCGGAGATATGGGTTAACTGAAAACACCAGGAAGTGCACCGCAGGTTAACGCGAAGAATTTGCCATTTACCAGGGCAAGCCATTTGGGGCGCGAAATTTGTTTTTCCCCCGCCAAGTCTGCTGTGGACCCGCCTCCCTCTGGTTGGTCTCGAGGGTCTGGTCTCGAGTTCGCACCTCAGTGGATCAAACTCGGCCATCGGCGAGATCTGGCCACGGGTCAAAATCGAAATCGTACCCCCAGCGAACATCCCGATCCCCACCAATCATAGAGCAAAATGCGTGGTGAATTCACCCACCCCCAAAATGGGATCAACCGTTGAACGGTTTTGACAACCACAGCCATCTGCGTTTCAAGCGCCGAAAAGCTGGCGGAAGCCGTGCCCTTGCCGCCATCCGAAAAAAATCGGAACGGATCCAAGCCTCGCAGAACGTCCCCTTGGCGCCGATCAACGTGAAGCGAGTGGATTGGTCACAAAAAAACGCCCAAGGCTTTCTATTCACCGCTGACCATAGGTGGCCTGTTGGAAAAACAGACCCTGGTAAATGGAATGGAATAAATCTCATCTAAACCCGGGAATCGCCCCTTCTTTTTGTTGAGCAAACCAAATGAAAGAGGACACCTCAGCGGGCTGACCTGATCTTCCCCTTCAAATTGAGGCCCCCGGCCATGGCCAGCACCAGCCCGTCGCCGGTCATCTGTTGCAGCTGGTAGGTCGACATCTGGTCCTGCACCTGAGTGCATGAAGCCGAAAAAAAATCCAGGGGGTGAGTCCAACCATTCGTTTCAGCCATCCGTCGGAGGATACGATTCCCCGGAAAATACCAAAGAACGGGGAAACCCATGGTTTCCAAGTGGTGCAGGATTTTGTCCATCCGCAGTATCAACCTCCATTCTAGGGGCTGCTTCCCTTTTCTAGGGGCTGGGTTTGGGCTGCCGAAAATGGGGAGGCCTTGCCTAAAACTTCTCTTCCAAGTGGAAAAAGGGTCTTCATTTGAGCCGAAAAGTTTGGACATGGCAAAGCCCGTACCCCCAGTGAACCGGACCCAATCCAACCGCTCAAATTTAGGTGCTAAAATGGGTGGTGAGTTCACCTACCCCAAAATGGGATCTCAAAACGGCTTTGAACCATGGCCATATTTTTAGGGGCTGATTCCTTTTTTGTCCATTCTTTTCAGCCATCCCTCTTTTCAAAAACCGGATCTGTTTCTCCATGGTTCTTGCTGGTTTTCTAGGAAGCAGGATCCCTGAAAAGAATGGGGAAGCTACCCCTAGAATATTCAGCCGTCATTCAGGTTTCCCATCCCCAGCCAACATGAGGCTCCCAAATGCTCTGCATAGCCTGCAGTTGAACTGGGGGCGCCTAGGAGCAAGAATGGATCTCGCAAGTGGATCGCTGCTCTCCGCACAACTGCGTTCAAATCGCACACAAAAACAAACAATCACAGAAGTAAACAAAGCAACACAAAGCAAAACCAACAAGCGAAAATGGACGGACAGAGAGACAAACAGGCAGGCAGGCAGGCAGGCAGGCAGGCAGGCAGGCAGGCAGGCAGACAAACAAACAACTTAATCATCAAACTACCAAGCAACCAAACAGCCAAACAACCAAACAACCAACCAACAACCAAGCCAAGCCAAGCCAAGCCAACCCCAGCCCAACCCAGCCCAACCCAACCAACCAAGCAAGCAAGCAACCAACCAAGCAACCAAGCAAACCAAGCAAACCAAGCAACCAAGCAAGGAGGCAAGAAAGCAACCACACCAAAACAAACAACCAACCAACCAACCAACCAACCAACCAAGCAAGCAAGCAAGCCAGCAACCAACAAAACAAGCCAGCAAGCAAGCAAAGCAAAGCAAAGCAAAGCAAAGCAAAGCAAGGCAAGGCAAGGCAAGGCAAAGCAAAGCAAGCAAGCAAGCAAGCAAACAAGCAAGCAAGCAAGCAAACAAGCAAGCAGGCAAACAAGCAAGCAAGCAAAACAATCAAAAAGACAAACAAACAAACAAACAAACAAACAAACAAACAAACAAACAAACCAAACCAAACAAACCAATAAGCAAGCAAGAAAACAAGCAAACAAACAAACAAACAAACAAACAAACAAACCAAACAAGCACACAGGCAAGAAAGCAAACAAACAGGGCAAAACAACACAAATTACACAGAACACCCGGAATATATATATATAAAGAAGACAAAACCTGTGTGTGTGTGTGTGCGTAGGTCATTGATCCGATCTCTAAGTGCTTTGGAGGAACTCTTTCCGCCACAACGCTAATAGCCGAACACCAACATATGCTTGGTCAAAGCACCGGCATATGGCGGTTCGCTTCGATATTTCCCCCAAGGAAAAGAAAGGCCATGTCCGGGTCAGACCCAGTCTTGGACAAGCTCGGCTGAAATCCAAAATCCGACGCGCAGCGCAGCTCACCAAGCGGCCACGCTCCACAACTTCCGGATCGACCTTTTCGGCCGCACATCCTGGAAGAAACAAGCGGAACGGCCAGAAAGTGCCACAAGAGGTTTAGTTGGACCAGGGCGGGGGGCATTACCACTGTGATACAACAAAAAGGCCTAACCCCAAAGAACCCCCATAGGCCCATAAGAAGAGATTCCCAAACGTATCACAGAAGTGGTTGGACACGCCCCGAGTGATCCCACAAGCCTGCTGACTTGCCATTCACTGGGAAAAGGCGGGCTCTGACTTTGACCCATTTGCCCAGTGAAACCCTGCGAAGGTATTCTACGCTGGAAACCCGCCTTCCATTTGTTTAAGCCGCCTGCAACAAAAAGCAAAAAAAACAGTAGTGATAGACCCCCCTGAAAACCAACAAGGGGACAACACATATTCACTTCAGCAAATTTAACAAGGGATTCAGAGGCTGCTGAAGGAACGGTCCTGGTGATCGTAATTCCAGACGTCGCTGGTGGACGCTTCTGAGAAAATGGGAAGCACTTCCATCGCCAGAGCCCCAAAACGGAGGCGCTGGGCACTGCGCGCGGCGCGGGCTTTTTGGTAAGGGGAAACGAGTTGGCCATCCGTCTTTGCCTTTTGGTTGGCACCTGGAAAAGGACTGGGTCGAGCAAAAAAAGAGAACCCAACACCTACGCTGCATGGAGATCCTGCGGAGGGTGGGTGTCTAAGGGAGAAGAAAGACGGGGCCTCCATGTAGGATTACCATGCCAAGAAAAGGGGCCTGCTTGGATGCCTCCGTCAAAGGACCTTGCTTCAGGGCTCGGTATTGTGACAAGGGCCCGGCATCCGAACGACCATAGCTAGAACTCGAGCCAAAATGCGTCAGTGTTCAGCATGCAAAGCGCATTGTGGTTGAGTTCGACCTGCCAAAAAAGCAGCTGGAGAAACAAAGGCAGAGGTAGAAGCGCAAGGGGCAGCAGTAGCAGCAGCCGCCGCTGCCGCCGACGCAGGTGCCATAAAAATGGCAGTCCAACGTCATCCATTTGTACATGAACATTTGTAGAAATACTACGTTGGATGTTGGTACATGCCCCTTGAATGAATGAAGGCTTATCAGGGAGCCGCACTGGACAGCGGGTATCGCAGTCGCGTGGCTTGGGCGGTAGTGCTTGCCAGGCACAGTTTGTCCGAGCGGCCTTCACACCCACGCCATATCTTGACTCAGAAGGCAAACCAAAAACAACAGCACTTCTGGCGGCTAAAATAAATTTCACAGGAACACTGAAGCCCAGGTCTCTTGCACTCTTGCACTCTTGCACTCTGGCACCAATGAGTCAGCTTGCTTCACTGCATATGTATCCCCCTTCTTTCTGGACCTTGTCCATGCCAGTGCAGCATCTCCGCCCGAACTAGGCGCTCGCCCAGGTTTTTCCTCCTCCAGCAAGCTCTGGCGCCCCATGACTGCCGCCTCCCAGCGCGCCAGCCGCTGCTGCCAATCCTTCCTCAACGCGGAAGGAAAGCGACATCCATCCGCACAAAGTCGTCTTTCTCCAAGGGGGTAAGCATTTAGAACATGATCTTCAAATTATTGTTGAGGAAACATGAATGTCCATCTAGCACTATGAAGACCGACTTCTCTAAAGGGCTGCGCGCCAATCTGCCAACGGCATCTTCCCTCTGGTCGCTTGTGGTCCCTTGCCGCGTTCATTCTTGCGTTTATGCTTGGTTGCTGTTGACCCCCCTGCAAAAAGTTTAACTGTTGGGGGGTTTGGTGGAAAACACCTTTATTTCTCAAAAAGTTAAAGTCTAAAGATCCAACCCAATAGCAGTCAAGTGTTATGCTTGGTTGGAACCGTGGAACCGTGGAACCATGGAACAGCACACCTCATCGCAACCATGAACTCATTCTCCAGGCGCATGCCGGCATGCGCTGCGAACTACAGTGTGTTTGTCTCTGCGTCTAACTACCTGAGCGTTTTTGCGAGGCAAACAAAGTGAAAGTACGACGCGGGTTCTTGTCCTTGACAAGCATGCTCTACGTGAATGCAACTACGCTGCCATGGTTGTTGCCTTGTCCACCTACAAGTCGCTTTTCAAGTTCCTGAAGCACCTGGCTTGGTTGACGTTGGAAGGGGAGCAACAATTTAAATTTTGGCAGTTCTGTGGTTGGATTCCCACTAAACCACAACAAGCAAAAATGCAACATGCTTCCCAACAACAACCATGCTGGGAGGAATGTCTCGTTTGAAGCGATCATCCAGGCAACTGGGAACCTGACACCCCAAAGCTTTCCCAAGCCTCTCCTGGTTAACCACTGGACCCATCCACGGAACCTTGATGGAAAAGCTGAGACTCTCAAGCGGAAAGCGCAGTTCTATGTTGCCTTCGGACCACCTCGTACATAGGTGAAAACTTAGGCAACCAGAACACTGCACCGATGCAGCTCCACAAAATGAAGACCGTCTTTCCACTTGGAAGCAAAGTTTTCGGCAAGGCCTCCCCGTTCTCGGCAGCCCAACCCCCAGCCCAGCGGCGTCTCCGCGGAGTGGTCCCCGGCGGCCCGCCAAATGAAGGAGGGCTCGTCCCGTGTGCTGCTGTGTTGCCGCAAGAAGCGCGTAAGGAACTGCCTGCGGCCGATGCAACGAAAGAACACATGGGTTTGGGTGAAAAATAGGTACCCAACCTTGGCTACTGTTGACCCCCCTGCAAAAAGTTTAACTTTTTGGGGGTTTAGTGGAAAACCCCTTGATTTCCCAAAAAGTTAAAGTCTAAAGATCCAACCCAATAGCAGTCAAGACAATACCTAATAGGTATCCAACATGGAACCCTGGCAAATGGACACCTGAACTATCTGCGGTTTTCTGGCGGCTGAATTTTGACCCACATGTCGCCCATCCAAAGCGATCCAAAGTGGGAGGCCAAAAGTCGCCGTGGACGTGCCATTGATGAATTTCAATTTGGAGCAACCCTGAAGACGCCATATCCAATGCGTGGTCCTCATGCTGATTCAAGCCCGCCATTCAAGCCCACCAACGGGGACCAACCAATTCCACCCTTGTGGTCTGCTCAGCTCTTGGATGCTCAGAACCATGTTGTGGCTTGCTGCTCTGACAGCTAGATGCGCCAGCTAGGCGGTGAAGGCCTCATGTCACCAAGGAAGCCCTTGGGAAGTGCCAGCCTCTGGGAAATGCCGTCGGATCATGTCCCTTTCAAAAAAAAACGATCAGCTGAATTCGGCCTGCTTTTGCTGTGCAGCCCTTTGAGCCGCCCTGCCTTTCTACATTGGCGTATTGGCCATGCGGGCCGGCACTACGAATTCAAATGGAACATCATGTGCAGCAAATCCCAGTTCAACTGGAAACTCCAATCCCTCAAGTCCAATGTCAAAAGGGAACCCCAGCACTGTCGAATCAAACAGAAACTCCAATCCGTCGCTTTCAATCTCAAAGGAAGCCCTAGCGGCGTTTCCCGAATGAGCCCTTCACATCCGTGCTTGCCTTTCTTTGGCGCTCATGTCTACGGCGGTGATGTTCTTGAGGAAGGTCCAGCAAGCATGGCGCACCAGCTTGCTATAGCCTCGGAAGCTGTGCAAGCAAGCAAACGGGACTGTGGGTGCAGCACAATTTGACCGGTAACTGTTCGGAGACTTGGAAGCTTCACTCACGGAGTCCACGCGCACGCATGGTGAGGAACCAACTGTTGATGTGACATGAGGCTGTCTGTGGTCGCGTGAGCACTTAAGTTTGTCAGTGCCGAGCAAAGTATCTCGCTTGCGCAAAGGGCACTGGCAATCTGGGGTGCCCCCTATTGGTTTTCAGTACTTCGCAGAACGCATCACGCGCGCAAGTGTGTTTGTATCAATAGACAAGAACCGCCACATTAGAAACAGTGTGGCGCGTGAATTATGCCTCAGCGCTTGCTCGACAATCGCAAAACCTCAGTGCGAGCGTACGCGAAATACAGTTTGGCAGCTCCAGCTAAAAAATCGCAACTTTCCCTGCGAGTGAAGTACGCGATGTACACTTTGATGTTCCAGCAGGTAAGTCGCAGCTTTTCAGTACAAGTGCAGCATACCAAGTACACTTTGGCAGATCCGACTCAAAAATCGCAACTTGCATGCACATGCGCAATACACGAAGCACATTCTCCCATTCAACACAGGCCAAGGGGCGTGCCCCTTTGCTAAACAAAGGCACTGGCATCTCCAAGAAATGTGGTAATGAAGCTGCAACCAAGTACCAACCACGAACCAAACTGCATTCAAATGCCACCTGACCTGCCGGCCACGCTGGACTCAGGGCATGAGTCACCCTATCGGTTGAAAAGGTTGATATACCCCACTTTTGGAAAGAATGCCTCTTCCCAACCACGGCTCTGGACTCTTCACTTGCTTTTGTCTCTCCACCCGCTTCTTAAATGGCCCTCGATGCGTCCCTACACATGCAAAACACAAACAAGCAAGCCGTCCTCAAGCAGTCGCGTCCAAAAATCGCGAGATGTTCGCAGCGAGCTGCGGCTGACGGGCTCCTTCCTTAAGGGCCGGCAGAGCTCGTTCAAGGCGAAGAACACGGTCCGCCGCGTGCTCTCCGAGGCCAGCTTGAAGGTCTCAGAGAAGAGCTCCATGGCCCGGTAGACACCCTCCGCACCCGCGCGCCTGAAGATTGGCCGCAGATTTAATAAGCTCTGGTGCTATCCCCAACAGCATGCGGTGCTCTTTTTAGTCCCGTGGAACCCTCGCGGAATATTGGTGGAACCCTCGTGGAACCTTACCTGAGGGCCGCCCCGAACCACCCCGGAGCCTATCTGGGCTGAGACCCCAAAGCTGTCAGCTGTTGGGGACAAAAATGCCAAATCCGCGGCACGAGATGCACCACTGGAATCCACAAAGTGAAACACCGGCAATTGCAAGATGAGGAATCTGCAGTATGAGAAACCAAGGCATGAGCCGTGTCCCTTGCAATGCGCTGATTGTCTGCATCTGGCGACACTTGGCGACACTGCCAGGGCCAGGGCTGTGGACAGGCATGCACGAACCACGAATTCGGGTTGACCAACTCTTGTAGTTCGGACGCCATACGCCAGAAGACGCCGACCAACGCACGCCACACGCCATAACTTCCATCTGCTTCAGCCCAGCAAGGGTGCCGCCTTGTAGCTTTATGAAGCCAAGCTAAGCCGGGGCCCGACGGCACAATCGGGGCCCAATCGGGGCAACAGCACAATCGGGGCCCGATCGGGGGCCCGGCGCAATCGGGGCCCGATCGGGGCCCGATGGTGCAATCGGGGCCCCGACCGAGCGGGACAGCCACCCATATTATAGCTCAACGCCGGTTTTCCTTAGGATGGCCTTATAGCAACACTAGGCGAGGCCAGCTTGGTAGTTGATGGGGGCCGATCGGGCCCGACGGCGCAATCGGGGCCCGATCAGGCCCCGACTGTGCATGCAATCGGGCCCCGACCCGACTGGGCCCGCAAACCGTTTTCGTGAAACCCTCGGTGGAGCTCAGCGTGAAACGCTGTTGGAACCTTTCCTCAGTGGAAACCTCATGGAGCACTTTTGGAACTTTACCCCGTAGCCCTCGCAGCCTCGTGGAACCCTTGGAACCCAAAGCCCACCAAGTAATACTCAGAAATGCCAAGCATTTACTCTGCTACACAGCGAGTCCCGCAGCAACGTGATCTGATTTGCCACAAAGCCAACGCGTTGCCTGAGCAAGTGAGCAAGTGACAAAACAGTGAACGTGTGCTGAAAACCGTTGATTTTGGTTTTGCTTAGTGTTCCGCCCCTGAGCAAAGCGATCTTCTGAGCCCTCAATTTACTGCTCCGATGGCTTTTCAGACGGCGGGCGCACGACACATTGCTTCCTTGCAGAACATTTGTTGTGTACCTCAAACCACCCTCGGACCACCCCGCAGCCCTCGCAGAACCGGTGGAACCCTGGTGGAACCCTTAGATCAACCACCCTGGACCACGCAGCCCTGGCAGAACCTGGTGGAACTCTGGTGCAACCCTGGTGGAACATTAGTGGAACCTTACCTCAAACCACCCTGGACCACGAACCCTGGTGGAACCCTGGTGGAACCTTACCTCAAACCACCCGGACCACCCCGGACCACCCCGCAGCCCTCGCAGAACTTGGTGGAACTGTGGTGGAACCTTCGTGGAACCTTGAACCACCCCGGACCTCGCAGAACCGGGTGGAACCCTGGTGGAACCCTCGTGGAACCTTACCTCAAACCACCCCGGACCACCCCGCAGCCCTGGCAGAACCTGGTGGAACTCTGGTGGAACCCTCGTGGAACCCTCGTGAAACCTTACCTCAGGGCCGCCCCGAACCACCCCGGAGCCTATCTGGGCTGAGACCCCAATGCTTTCAGCTGTTGGGGAAAAATGTTCTTAAGCCAATGGATGATAAGGGTCACTCCCAAAGGCTCCCGAAGACGGCCACGCCTCATGAGCTTCTTGTGCACGTCGTCTGCCAGACGCTGCAGCGCTGCCGGCTGCATGGACTTCAAACACACCAGCTGGTCCTTTTTTCCAAGGGCCGAGGGTGGTTGAAGGAGAAACCCGTGCTTAAGGATTCGTCTAGGGGATGCCTGGGGGGGCGGTGGATTTGACTCAATGCCAAAACACCGGACACGTTTGTCCCCTACAACCAACAGGGTGTTGCTTCCGAAGTTTGGGAGGAGCAATGCGCTAAGCTTGGTGAGGGTCAGCGGCGCAGGCTGTTGGGCCCAAGTTCCTCTGCCTGTCACCTGTGGATCCCCACCGGTTGATTGCCTCTAGCATGGACAATGGAAAGTACAATACAAGTGGACCAACCATCCTCGATACACTTCACCGCTTTAAACGAATGGTATGTTTCACCCGCCAAAAACAACCGCAACCCCCGAAAGTACAGCACAACTATGGGGCTCATTGCCAAGGTGGTGAGGAGACTCCAAGCTTTGGGCCGTCCATCGCGTCCTGCAGCCAGGAGAACGCCTCCTGACGGCCGCAGCTCAAAGAGTCCGCCCAAAAGGGTCCCGGCAAAAAATGGCGCTCTGGCCGAAGCTTGCGTCGTCTGTTTGCAAAAACCGTCCATTGACACGGAGCATGACGATAGTGACAGTCTCTGGTATGATTAGAGCACCGTGATGTTCCTCTCGTCAAAAGGCTGTGAGACAACTCAAAATGCCTCTGAAAGCGACAAGCTAAGGCGGTTGTGTGAAGGCCAACCAAGCAGGGAGTTTGAGACCCATCGGCTGTACTTGAGGCACTGCGCTTTTAAAAGGGGCCAAATTGCACAAGAAGCTCAGAGGCTCGCCTGATGGGCCCGACTCAATTTAGTTCCCCTTGCCACTCTTCACCGTGAATCAGCCTGGGAAACGCCAGCACACCACTCCGGAAAGTTGCCACACAATCTGAAGGAATGATAAATTCCCGAAGAATCTGCCAACTCTTTTAAGAAAATGAAAAATGAGAAGAAAAAAACACACACACTCCTCACCATCTGACGTCTGGTGATTAAAATTCCTACCTCAACTCCTCTCCTCCTGGCCCTCCGGAGACAACGGCGGCGGCCTCGAACCTCGTCCCGAGGAAGGGCCCCTTTCACCCGGGCAAGGCCTTGCTTGGGGAAATGTCCTCGAAGAAGCTAATGTTAACCCGGGATTCATAAACCCCAGTGTATCAATTTATGGGGGTGGAGGCCCCTCCAAAAGTGACAAACCCCCACTAAAACCGTGGACACCCCCATATTAATAAACAGGGGTTTATTAATCCGGGGTCAACATTACCCTGAAGGCTGCTGAAACTCACCCGGCTCCGAAGGTTGGCCATATCGAACAATTCCAAGCCCAGCTTATTAGTAAGGGTCCCCTCCTCCTCCAAAATTCCTCTGACTCCAACCACTACATCCAGTTGGACGCCCCCATCAAACAACAACAACAACAACAACAACAACAACAACAACAACAACAACAACAACAACAACAACAACAACAACAACAACAACAACAACAACAACAACAACAACAACAACAACAACAACAACAACAACAACAACAACAACAACAACAACAACAACAACAACAACAACAACAACAACAACAACAACAACAACAACAACAACAACAACAACAACAACAACAACAACAACAACAACAACAACAACAACAACAACAACAACAACAACAACAACAACAACAACAACAACAACAACAACAACAACAACAACAACAACAACAACAACAACAACAACAACAACAACAACAACAACAACAACAACAACAACAACAACAACAACAACAACAACAACAACAACAACAACAACAACAACAACAACAACAACAACAACAACAACAACAACAACAACAACAACAACAACAACAACAACAACAACAACAACAACAACAACAACAACAACAACAACAACAACAACAACAACAACAACAACAACAACAACAACAACAACAACAACAACAACAACAACAACAACAACAACAACAACAACAACAACAACAACAACAACAACAACAACAACAACAACAACAACAACAACAACAACAACAACAACAACAACAACAACAACAACAACAACAACAACGACGACGACGACGACAACAACAACAACGACGACGACGACGACGACGACGACAACAACAACAACAACAACAACAACAACAATAATAATAATAATAATATAACGTTTATGCAGCTAGGGTCATTCTCTTCCCCTCCTTTGCTGTGCGTGGCATGTCACCCCCAGCTTTCCTCCAGACATCGACCGAACAAAAAGCCCCGAGGCCCCCGGCTGTCGCTGGGCTCCGAAGCCAAGCTCGCTTCGCGGAGCGCTTCGCGCTCGTGGCGCTCCGCCCGCGCCAGGCGCTCCGCCTCCGCCTCCTGTGGACTCAGCTTCAGTGGGCTTTGGGCTTGGGCTTGGGTTGGTTTCCTATCAAACATTTGTATTCAGACCCTTGGGTTAGGAGTCTTCTGTGTCAAGGGCAAGGAAAATGGTTTTTCGGGGTTAGGAGGGTATGTGCTGATGTTGGTGTTGGCTCTGGTGCTTTGGTGATGAAAGGCGGGTTCGGGGGTTCCATTTATCCTCAAGCATCAGGGGGTTTTGAGATCGGTTTGTTTTCCCACTACCGCCTTGCGGGCTTTGAGGGGGTCGGGTCCCATACTCTACTCTATTGACCTTCCTCACGCCTGCCCTCATATTCCAATTCTTGAGGGGGTGGGGATGGTTTCCCCATGTTGGTGTTGGCTCTTGTGCTTTGGTGCGGATGGTAGGGAGGTTTCCATTTATCCTCAAGCATCAGGGGTTCAATTCCCAACTAGTCACTAGCCCAAGCCGGCCAATTATCAGCAACCTGAAAAACTGCACCAAAGAGAATAAGTCGAGTCGGTCCAACCAGGCGCAACCACAACATCCTAAGCTTTCGGTGCGGGTCCTTCTCGACTTGTGTGAGCTCTTCAATTCCTTGGCACCCGGCGTGGCATGTTGCCAAGGCGACGGCACACCTTCATCTAGAACTTCAGGGTGCAAAAAAATACATATGGCTGTGGCTCAAAAAACCGGTACCCAAATGGAACCCTGGTAAGTGGAAACATGCCTGGTTAATTTTGAGCCACACCCATGTTGCTGTGGCCCTTCTGCTGAAGCAGGCGCACATCGCATATTCTTCAGGCCAGCCCATGTGTTTCCGGGCTTTGCAACCTGATTGATGATGCGGCGCAAGGACCTTTTTTGCCACCATCGATTCAGGGTGCCTTGGCTTTGACCATGTTTCGCCAATTCTACGTTGTCAAAGGTTGCAAAGCCAGACTTCTGGAATCGACAGACATGTTTTGGAGAGGGGTGGTAAGCTAAGCTTCGATCAAACGCCTCCCAATTCTGCAAAGGGGATCCAATATTAGCCGAAGCGCGATCTGGGGCTTCACGGTTCCGGGAACCGTTTACAACACGAAAGGGTCCTCCAGATTCGAGAGGTTAGAAAAAGTTGGTACCCCGATTTTTTTCTGTAGCCTGTTTTAGTAGGGCAACCATCCCCCAAAAAAGTGGGTGAAAGGGCACTACTGGGGGACCTAGAACACTGCACATGGCTCCAAGCCTAGCGTCGCCTGCGCTTCCGCTCAGCCTCATCTCTGGCCTGCACGGGTGAGCCCATGCTGCTCCCCTTTCGTAACCAAGAAACCCATGTGGCTGTGGGTCAAAAATGCGGACCCAAAATGGAACCCTGACAACTGGAACCAAAGACTAAAACCTGCGGTCCCCTGATGGGTGTATTTTAATCCATACCCATGTGGGAGTGGCTTCATATCGGCAGGCTCCTAGAGCTGGTTGGTGTCCTCTTGGTTTCCCTATTCAAGAAAGGGTCCCCTCCGAGCAACACCAAATGTATCCCCCCCCAAAAAAAAGAAGTTCAGGCACACCCCCAGATTCATAAACCGATGGGCTGATTTTCTATATGGGGTCAACATGAGGTTGCGGCCCTTACACCCCTTGAAACTAGAAGTCGCCGGAGCCCAAGCCAAGCCTTTGGAACACAAAAACCACGTCAAGCGGAGCAGGTGATGCGGTCTTCAGGTTTTTAGGTGGATTAGTGGCATTTCCATTTGACCCACTAAAACTCGGTTGCTTTCTGCTCCCCTGCTAAAGTTTAACCTTTAGCGGTTTAATGGAAAACCCATTAGTTGGCAAAAAGTCAAAGTCCTGACATCCCTTGGCAAAATGCACCAAAGAAAAGCTAAGCTTTCTAGGAAGCATATGGCCATGGGTCAAAATCCCCCACCCCCAGTAAACATCCCAATCCCCACTAAAACAAGTTCTAAGATGGGTGGTGAATTCACCTACCCCAAAATGGAACCATCGGTTGTGACAACCACAGCCATATCATCACAAACCCGGACACCGGGGCCCCTCGCGCCTGCGTGGCCGCCAGCTCCGCCAGCTGCCCCGCCAGCTGCTTCTGCAGCTCCGAGCACTCCGCCCGCTTCGCCTCGGACGTCAGAGAATGATGAGCTGGGGGACTGACCTCCCCACATTTATGATCCCAACCATCAGAACTCACATGGCCGGTCTTTGAACCTCCGCGAACACCTCCGCAAACAAAGGAGGAAACAGCTTTCCTACATGGCTGTGGCTCAAAGCTGGGATCCCAAATGGCACCTTGGTACATGGAACCAAAGACTAAAACCTGCGTACGCCTAGCCCTTTAATTTTGAGCCACACCGACATGGTTGGCGCGGGGTTCAGATCTGATTTCTCAAGCCCACTCGGTATCCCCGAACCCTAGTGAGCCCACTATCTGGCCAAAGCTTGCAGCGCCAAAAACCAAAAGATCATGAACAAAACACGAATACTGTCAAAAGATTGCTATTTTGTTTGTATAGTGTTTCTTAAAAGAAAAAAGTAAATCATTAAAAATACTTGTATCACGTCTATGCTATAATCGTCCTATATTACGTTCACAAGTTACAAACTGAAATCAGAAAGGCTCTCCGGTTCGCTAATATGTGTTTTTTGAGAATCGGAGTTTTTTCAATAGAAAACTGGAATATATCTCCTGAAAACCAGAACTCAATTATGCAATACAAGCATAAACTACATTGCATTGTGTTTCTATGACCTGCTCTCTAGTAATGCCCATGTGGAAACACACAGACATGCACCCACCCTCTGCCTTGGGCGCCGACTCACTCAACCCAATAAACACAAGACTTCAAGGCAAACTAAAGCACGGTGTATACCTCAAAGCCAGCCAAGAGCGGACTGGCTGAGGCGCGGGCAACGCGAAGCGTTGACAATTAAGATTTGTTTCATGTGGCCATGGGTCAAAAGCCCGTACCCCCAGTGAACATCCCAATCCCCACGAAAATAGACTAAAATGGGTGCTGCACCTACCCAAAATGGGATACCAAAACGGTTTTGACAACCACAGGCGTCTGGATCTGGATTTCCAACTCCTCCAAATTCCGGCCTGGGCCTGTGTCTGCTCCAGCATCTGCTTGGCCTCCAGCCGCCTCTGCGCCGCCTCCAGGCTCTTCCGTAGCGGGCTGCGGCTGCGGCTGCGACTCGGGGTGCGGCTTCCTGGGAGGAGCTGAGGGAGGAGGTGAGGGGGGAGGGCTGGCTCGGTGGGTTGGTAGATTGGTTGGTGGGTTGGTGGGTTGGTGGATATTTTCGGGATACTGAGCCAATCTCATTCCATTGACCATCAGGTTGCATTGTAGGGTTTCCAGTTTCTCTGAAGGCCACCTGCCCCTCCAAAGCATTGTGGCGCAACCTGCCCTCACTGCCCTCACTGCCCTCACTGCCCTCACTGCCCTCACTGCCCTCACTGCCCTCCCCCCCCCCACCCAAGGCGATGGCTGACGCGGTGCGCTAGACTTGTTGCCCTCTTTCGGACACCACAAACCTCAATCTCCCTAACGCGCCGGGCGGCGATCGCCGGCGTCAGGGCTCGCCTCCGCAAGCCGCAAGCGGCGTCGGTTGCCCCCAACGCAAGACGCGACAACGTGCAACGCGCCAAAAGGCTGGGGTCGCATCAAAACGGCAATGATGCCCTCTTTCGCCGTCCCGTCCCTTTTTTTCATCTGCAGGTTGCGCTGCCAAGGTTCTAATGATTCTAATGCTTCACACTTCACCGCAAAGCACACAAATTAAAAGAGCTTCATGTGCAACCCAAGCAAGAGCCCAGATCAAACCTGCGTGCTTGATTGTCCCTTCCTGGCTTACATCACAGCTGCGTCGGTGTTGCGAAAGGGTTGCCGCCCTCCCCGAATGATGCGTGTTGAAGCTTCTTGCCGAAGCCCCTGGTGACACATTGCAGCCAAACGAGAGCTGATCATCTTTCAGTCAGTGGCTACAGGGACAGCAGCCCTCAAACCGCAGCACTTTGCAGGCTTCTCTTTCGTCTAATTTGGCCATGGGTCAACATCCCGTACCCCCAGTGAACATCCCAATCCCCACTAAAATAGACTACAATGGGTGGTGCACCTACCCCAAAATGGAACCATTGGTTTTGACAACCACGGCCATTTGTTCTCGTGCAAATCCTTCAAGGTGCAGTTGCCAGGACGCGCGCAATACGATAAACGGAACGAAGCAATTCGCGCCCACCCCCCCCCCCCCCCCCCGGGTGCTGCCCGTTGTGCCTCATCAGCTGGCCCCAGCTGGTGCAGGCTGCTGCGTTCTTAGCAATCGGGCTCAGCACACAAAATGCCTGAAGACGCCATCAATAACGACATCTCGGTGCGACATGGATATGAAGTGTTGACAGTGAATAATTGTTCCAGGAAAGGCCCCGCACACTGGGCGACCTGAACTGCTGGTGTTCGCCTCGGAAAGAAACGCCCCTACCGGATAGCAGTCCTCCAAGCCTGGAGGGCCTGGTGTGAAGAAAAGCAGAACTCGATGGACCCCAGAGCAAAGTACGGCACAGCCCCCCAAAAACCGGGGAGGGCTTACGACTCCTCAGAACAAAGCAGGGTGTACCTTTGCGGTTCCAAGGATGGGGAAGGAAAGGACCCTCAAAGCGCCAGCACTGCACTACGGGCTGACCTGGTCTGGCTTTCTGTAGGTAAGCCCTGGAAAAGGGTGCTCATTCTCGAGAAATTTGAGAGTTCATGCCTGGAGTGGCTGGAATGCCGTTCCCAGTATGCTTTTGCAGTTCTTTTACAAAACCTGGCAGTAAAGTAAACCAAACGGGGAAGAAAAAAACACTCATGCTCCGATGTGACCTCCTGGCCACTTGGAGCTCAAAGCATGACATGCCACCCAATGCTCCGCAAATCAGACACACCCATCGTATGTCTCATAGGGGAGCCCCACAACAAATCGACGATGCGTCCCGGAGGATGGATTTCCATGCCCCTTTCTCATAGGGGAGCCCCCACAAATCGAGACTGTCCCTCTGTCCCTTTAAGAACCCACCCCAAAAAACGTCTCAGACAAACCAGAGTTCCAGCCAGCCTTTCCCTCTTGGCTTCCCTTTGAAACCACCCCCCAAAAATGAAACCCGGACCTCCGATCGATTCGATTCTGCCCTCTGGCCAGGTGGCCAAGGTTGCCCTCCGGCGGATTGGGATTCGGCGAGTCGCCCGCGTCGGAGGTGGACTTGGAAAAGTCCTTTGTTCGACGCCGGCCGGCGTGGAACGCCTCAAAATCAGCGCAGGGGCCCTGAAAAATAATAATCTAGAAAACGGTTTCGGATGCTTTTGTGCATCCACTGTAGAACATTTAAGAAGAGTACCAAAAGATTGCTGCAAGAACCGGTGATATCAACAAACAGCACCAATCCCAAGCCGTCTCTAGATTTTACAGGATGCCCGCTGGGCCTTCATTCAAGTTGAATTTTCAAAAGGACCTCTAAGAAACAGAAGCGGCATGGGGATTTCGGCAAGGCCAGCTCTGACAGACACATGCCCATGGCAACCCGTCTCTCTATAAGACACTCTCCCAAACGCAGGCGCATCGAGGGCGCTTCTCTGTGAGCGTTGCGAATGGCGATAGTCAGTAGCCGCAACTCGATCAGTCAACAGCAGCTCACGCGGATTCATGTGATCAGTATGCTACCTGTAAAAGAAACAGTCATTCCTCGTGAGGCCGGCGTATGTTTGTTTAAGAAGCCCCGTTTGCTGTACTTGTCCTTGCCCGGAACTAGTCTCCAGGCAGTCTTCCAAGAGAGCACGTTCCCCAATGTTGCCCGAATTGCCTGAATTGGGCCATGTTCAAAAGGTGGCCCACATGTCATCGGCCCAACCTCCCGGTGCACTCCTCTTGGGGCGGCTCCGGCCGCAAGGGCGGCTCGGAGGGCTCTGCGGAGGGCAGTGGCTCCGGCCGTGCCGGTGGCGCTAGGCCGAACTGCTGCAAGAGGAGGTCGGCGCGTTCCTCCTCAGATCGAATGGACGGAGGCGCGTCACTTTGGCCTCCGAAAGGTCTACGAATCTCGCGGGACCGTCACACGCCCTGGACGGAGACTGCTAGAGGGACCGAACTGCGCCAATCCCCACCCGATTACCTCCATTTTGCGTAAGTCCCCTGGAAAAAATAAAAACATATTTCCAGTGGTGATAGATTCCTTGAAAACCAACAGGGAAAAAATCTTAACCAAACGGAAGAGCACTGATTGGAAGGGGCGGGTGAAGATCCCCACGAAGCAGGCAACCAACTAGCACCACAAGGCCCAGTTAAACCACAAGTGCCAGGCATGTCGCTGGCAAACGGGCGCTAGCATCCGACCTAGGAATTCAGACCTTTTTCTCCAGTGCTTGACAAGGACTAAGGCGGAACTCTCAGTTCATTGTTCTACTCCGACCTAAATTGGCGGCTACAGTTCACCGAAACCAGCGTCTACTAGTTTAACAAATGGATTTCTTCCCTTCAGCCAGGGGGAAATTTTCCAGCAACGCTTCAGATCACGCTGGCAACCAGCGACGTCAACGCACGCGGGGTTCGGAGATTGGGAGACGCAAGCGAAGCGCTCTGAGTAAAGGAGCAGACCCGAACATGGAACCGGAGCCATGAGTTTCAATGGGCCCCGCTTCCCTTCACCGCACTTCCCATGTGGTGGCTGTCCATCGCGAATCTTTCGCGCCAGCCTCAACCAACACCCATGGTCACCGAATACCAAACTCCTTACAAGGACCTTTAGAACGACTCCCATGGTATCGAAAGCGCCATTCGCCCAGCTGCCACTTCCTCCGGCCCTAGTGGCCCTGGGCTCGGCTCCGCTGGGCGCTCGTCCGCTGACTCGGTGGAGTCGTCGCTGGCCTCGAGGCGTGGCCAAGCGCCTCCCGGAAAACTTTGCTCTGTTGTTCAAACTGAGCCTCCAACAAACATATGGCTGTGGGTCAAAAATAGGTTAACCCCCAAATAGAACCCCCCCTAGTGGTTTAATCTTGACCCATACCCATATTTCGTTCGCACCACTTTGAAACCATGGAAAATCGTTGTTTCTTGGTATTCACATGGGAATCATCATTCCGGAGGTGTACAACCCTCCAGATGATGCTGAATCTCTCCACAACCTCAGTCAGGTGGGTTCTCACCTATTGAGGCGTGCAGTCTTTTTCGCGTGTCAAGTTTGTCAACAAAAAAGAATCCCCAAACAGTTTCCTAACCTGGGTTGTTCAGGGCTCAACATGACGCAAGCGACGCTTCCCCCACCTCTCCAGGCGCATCTTTGGCACCGGGGGCCACGTCCAAAGGGGCCTGAGGAAAAAACAAAGGCAAAGGCGCTCCTCTCTCAAACGAGGAAACCTTTTTTTTTGGATGAGTGGGAACAAGGAGCGTGCGCCTCTAAGTACCCAAAACAAGTTGGGCGACAGAACTATTGCCACTGAATGCTACCGCAATCGACTCACAAACCAAGCACCCCCTCCACACAAACATGCTATTTCAAAATATTAACTGACCAGGTCATGTGTTGAAACTAGCCCAGCACGCCAGGAAGGATTAGTGTTAGGCTGGTCGCTTGTAAACCACCGATTTGTGCAGGTGTCGACTCAACGGACAGATAACTTCAATGGACCAAAACCCACCGAGCCTCGGCCGCTTCTGGGGAAGCTGGCGCAGGTGGAACACCCGCTCTGAGCCCTTTGGCGCTCACCTGCCAGCAGAGCTCACCCCCGCTTGGTGTCTTCGCTTGAGCTTTGTCGGGCGCTTTCTGGTGCCGAAAAGCTGCTGCGCCCCGATCTGTGACATGGAAAGCCGAAAACGCCGTCGAAGGTTCACTTCGTCACGCCTCTCCGCGCCATGGCCCGTCAACGTCATCTTGCCCCCCCCCCTTCCGCAGTCCCCAACGCACAAACCGAGCACACACCCCAAAGTACTAGCATGACTCCGCCCACATGTCAAAACAAGCTAGGTCGCTTGAAAAACCACGCAACGCGTATCCCAAGTCCTTTAGAGGGCGCTGAAATGTGTCAAACGAGGCGCAAACATGTAAAGAATTCATACATCGTGCATTTGGCGTCGCCATATTTTTCGCAAACTGATTAGGCAGATGCACTCGGATTGAACATGGCAACAAAACCTGGACAAGGCCAACCATCAGTTCAAACACGCTTAAACTCGTATGGTTTAAACACCCTCCTTTTGGCACCCCTTTACACAGAATTGCTCTGAAAACCCTGGCAGCAGCAACCCAAATGAAACAAAAGCCGAGCCTTGGCCGCTTCTGGGGAAGCTGGCGCAGGTGGAACACCCGCTCTGAGCCCTTTGGCGCTCACCTGCCAGCAGAGCTCACCCCCGCTTGGTGCCTTTGCTTGCGCTTTTTCGGGCGCAAGCCGCTGCACCCCGATCTGTGAAAAAGGAAGCCGAAAACGCCTTCGAAGGTTCACTTCGTCACGCCTCTCCGCGCTATGGCCCATCAATGCCGTCTTCCGCACCCGTCCTCCCCCGCCCCCCGGCTGGGCGCCAAAAATGTCAATCGTCACTATTCATTGCGTTCCCGGCTAGCCGCAAGCATTCTTCTCCAAAAACAGGGTACTACCGCAGCGAGCACACACCCCAAAGTACTAGCATGACTCCGCTTGAAAAACCACGCAACGCGTATCCCAAGTCCTTTAGAGGGCGCTGAAATGTGTCAAACGAGGCGCAAGCATGTAAAGAATTCATACATCGTGCATTTGGCGTCGCCATATTTTTCGCAAACTGATTAGGCAGATGCACTCGGATTGAACATGGCAACAAAACCTGGACAAGGCCAACCATCAGTTCAAACACGCTTAAACTCGTATGGTTTAAACACCCTCCTTTTGGCACCCCTTTACACAGAATTGCTCTGAAAACCCTGGCAGCAGCAACCCAAATGAAACAAAAGCCGAGCCTTGGCCGCTTCTGGGGAAGCTGGCGCAGGTGGAACACCCGCTCTGAGCCCTTTGGCGCTCACCTGCCAGCAGAGCTCACCCCCGCTTGGTGCCTTTGCTTGCGCTTTTTCGGGCGCAAGCCGCTGCACCCCGATCTGTGAAAAAGGAAGCCGAAAACGCCTTCGAAGGTTCACTTCGTCACGCCTCTCCGCGCTATGGCCCATCAATGCCGTCTTCCGCCCCCGTCCTCCCCCGCCCCCCGGCTGGGCGCCAAAAATGTCAATCGTCACTATTCATTGCGTTCCCGGCTAGCCGCAAGCATTCTTCTCCAAAAACAGGGTACTACCGCAGCGAGCACACACCCCAAAGTACTAGCATGACTCCGCCCACATGTCGCTTGAAAAACCACACAACGCGTATCCCAAGTCTTTTAGAGTACATCGTGCATTTGGCGGCGTCATATTTTCGCAAACTGATTAGGCAGATTCACTCGGATTGAACATGGCAACAAAACCTGGACAAGAGGCCGCGGCAAAACCTCAATTGAAATGGGCTGCACATGTGTTTTCTTATCGTTTTTGCGTCAAAGTTCATCGTTTTACACATTAGATGTATGTTCAACCTTATCGTTTTTTTTGCACCTCATCGTTTTACAGGGATTCGCGCATTTTTGGACAACTGCGCGCATCAGCTCTCATAGTGGCTTCAAAGGCTTTCTTCGTCGGACTCACGAGCAGCAAGCTCCTTCCATGCTTTTCGTTTGCGCTTGCTTGCTTCAATTTGTTTGGCTAGCCTGCGCTCATCAACTGCAATAATGTGTTCCAACGTAGAGTCCAAGACATGTTCCAACGTAAAAGACAAGTATGCTGTCCATGGCGGGGAGACAAAGGGAAAGCGAGGGTAGAGTGGCTAAGTTCCTCTCAATGGGCAACTCCTCACGGGCATGGGTTCTGTCAAAAAGCGTTATCGTTTTTGTTATCGTTTTGTTATCGTTTTCAGCGTCGTGACTCGGAAGCCTCTCCCGGGTCTCAATGCTCCAAGCCATGGTTGTGAACAGGAAGGACGGAAAGGGAGCAAACAAGATTGAGCAAAATGCTAGCAATACGTGCATTCCATGCTCCAAACCTTATCGTTTTCCAGCACAAACAACACGGAAACACCCAAAAACCTTATCGTTTTTTTTTGCACCTCATCGTTTTACCGGGCTTCGTGATTGTCCAACACAATGTGCGAGACTCTTACATCCCGCAAGCACGAGAGTATTGCCAGTACCTCCAGGCCAACCATCAGTTCAAACACGCTTAAACTCGTATGGTTTACAAACCCTCCTTTTGGCACCCCTTTACACAGAATTGCTCTGAAAACCCTGGCAGCAGCAACCAAAATGAAACAAAAGCCGAGCCTTGGCCGCTTCTGGGGAAGCTGGCGCAGGTGGAACACCCGCTCTGAGCCCTTTGGCGCTCACCTGCCAGCAGAGCTCACCCCCGCTTGGTGCCTTTGCTTGCGCTTTTTCGGGCGCAAGCCGCTGCACCCCGATCTGTGAAAAAGGAAGCCGAAAACACCTTCGAAGGTTCACTTCGTCACGCCTCTGCGCGCTATGGCCTATTGATGCCGTCTTGTTTCAAGAAAGTCACGCTTCATTTTTGTCCTCTGAATATTAATGTCCAGATCCTGTGCTTTCTGGATAATGTTTTTTCCCCCACATCCTATGAAAGCACATTTTCTACACGACACGGGAACAATTTGTCCATGACCTTTTCAGTGCAACAGCGAGCTCTTCACAGGCATTCTCTGCGCAAGTGCCGGCGACTTTGCCACCTTGAAGACAAGTGCCCACAGGATAGGAGGCACTGGCACAGGTCCCCACCTTCTTCTCAGAAACGCCTGAGATCCCAAACAATTTCTGAAACTGGAAGAACCGAAACATCGGGAGGCTTCCCCCCCCCAAAAAAAAAGAATAAGAAAAGAAAAAAAGCGGCCGAAACGGAGGGGGTGGGTGGGGCTTTGGCCGTGCCCACCTCGGGGGCGAGCACCTCCTCGGCCTCGAAAAGCTCTGAGGCATCGCTGGCGCCTTGGGTCAAAGGGGCGGTCAAAGCGGGGGCGGTGGGGGGGGGGGGGGCGGTGGAGGGGGCGGTGGTTGAAGTGATGGAGTGGGGTGGGGAGCACTAAGCTGCCTGGGCAGAAAGCGGGGCGAGGAGTCGCCTATCCAGGCCAGAAGTCGTATCAGGGTGCGGATTGCCATCTTCATCCAGGCAAGTCTGAGATCAACTCAGATGGATTGGGGAAGAGTGAGGCGGAGTCGACAAACTCTGACCTACTGAAGGGGTCGTGAAGGGGTGGTCAAGCTCTGACTTGAATGGCTTTATTGATACACCTCTGAAGCGGCCCAGTGTGTTCCTAGACAAATCCTCAAATTCAAAGCAGGTGAATGCGATGATTTCGTGAAAATTGCCAAACATTGGACTCCGAGAAGCCCAAACATGACCCAAATCACGGCCATTGCGAGGAATACTCTCATCTTCTTTTTTGGGCCCGAAATGGAGGCACTCCAAAACACTCCGACGAGCTGAGCTGAAATGCTTGAAGCTACCCTAAATTCGTTCTTTTCGAACTAAATATTTGATATCAGCACTGAATAAGACTACAACGTCAGACAGCGACTCAACGACTCTCCGACTGCCCGAGGCACTGGAGGGGGAGCCATCCAACAGGCCCATGGCTCATGAATGCGAACTGCTTGGAAGCTGTGCCCGGCCCCAAAGGCCCGGCCCCAAAGGCCCGGCACATGGGTATGAGTCAAAAAAAATGACCACTGAAGGACCGCAAGTCTTCTTCCATGGTTCCATTTACAAGGGTTCCATTTAGGGTTACCCTATTATTGACCCACCAGATGGCTAAGACCCCTCAGGTGAGGGGTCTAAAACCGAAAATCAGACTCTGCGAGAGGTTCGTTTTTTGGTTGGACTTGCAGCTGGCCTCCTTGCGACTGACTTGCGACTGGGGATTGCAGCTGCTTAGTAGGAGGACTCAAGTACCAAAAGCGAAGCTGCTAAAAGCTACTGAGCTGCTAAAAGCTGCTGAGCTGCTTGCTAGCCCAGGCCAAGGGACGACTCAGACGCTTTTGGGCGAACGACTTTTTCCGGGAGCCGCTAAACGGCCTTCTTCTTTTTTTCTCTGAGAGGGGCGTCTGAGCCTCAGCCTCGGCGGGTAGGTTGGCGTGCGGCAATGGAAGAGGCGCCTGTCGTGACCAGCATTTCTTGGGAATACAGAAACACGGGCGGCCTTTCGGAAAAAAAAAAAAAAAAAAAAAAAAAAAAACGTGGCCCTGGGAAATGGAACAAAACCCCATAACCAGTAGAACCCATGAAACATTTGTTTTAAGCAAAACCTAGAAAGGACACCTCACAGAAATGCGTAGGATGGGATCAATGAGATTCGACCTCTCCCAAGTGTCAGCTCGGTGCCTGTGGTACCAACTGTTGCCATAAGGCTGGGAGCGGAGGTCATCCAGACAAAAACATGTACGCTCTTAAAATAATCTGGAAGCTTCCAAAAAGAACAGAGCTTTCATCTTGGATTTGTTACCCTCCCAACAATCATGGAAACTGACAGGAGGGGGTTGGAAGACTACTTTCCTTTTTAGGAACCCCTCTGTCCACGTCCATGCTTGGTCGGAGGGGTAAGCCTTAGCGTCTTGCCCTGCGGTAACCTCGCTGGCAAGCAACAAGCTCTGCTTAGCTCCCATGGAACCGGTTTCCGCACTGATCTCTAAATAGAGATAACACCCAAACAAAAGTGGTTTCCCTTTGGTGTTCTGCCAAAAAGAACTCCACATTAGAAGTTAGAAGCCCCTATAGCTTTCAGCCATCTGGGGAACAAAAGTGGTTTCCCTTTGTTGTTCCAACTCCCAAAACGGGCAGCCTCAAACGACACGTTCATTCAGGCCGCGGCTCCGCCGCGCTTCTCTTTTGTTCTCCCAGCGCCCGTGCCACGACGCTCCGCTGGAAACGCTCCGGCGGAAAGTGCTGCGACAGGAAGGCCGCCACCTGCGGGCGAGCGCCCGGGCATGAGACACCGAGGTGAGTCCTAATCAAAACCCAGTCTTAGCATGGTCTACCCAGAACCATGTAAAAGAATCAAAAGGCGGATATCCGCAGCTATTTATAGTTGGGATTGTCCCGTACTAACCTTCATCTACCCGGGTTTTGAGCACGTGGCTGAGGTGAAGTTCTGAAGCAGGGAACATAAAATGCTCGAGGCAGCGGGAGTCCCGATAAATCAAACCTCTGCATATGCGTTGCCAAAGTGTTGCCAATGTGTGACTGTGTAGTGAGGAACAAGAACACGAGTCAAAGCCAACAAGATGTAACCTGGACTGGCTCCATTGGGGCACTTCAGGTTTGGTGGGGAACCAGAACGGACGGGACCCATCGGCTTTGAGGCGGTCCCCTTGTTGGCGTCCGATTGAATGGAAGCCAAATGGAAACCACCCTTTTGAGAGTTCCCCATGCGAGCCAAGGTCAAAACTGATGTGAGCCACGGGCATGGCTCCCAGGAATCCTTCATGCGGCGCGTGTCTAACATCCTTAAGGGGTTGATGACCATCTCTCGTAACCAAGAAAATCATGTAGGAACCAGTACGATGTTTCTTTTTACTCAATGGATAGTCCTGGCCCCGTCTGCGGCCCCACTCACGGAAGTGGATGCTGTGGATGGACCACCCACCTTGAAAACATGGGAAACCATAACATTAGTTTGTTGGTATTTCCGTTGGGGAATCGCATCATTCCCTTGGGTTTCTGAACGGTGGTGCGAGATGAGGAATTCTCAACCATCCACAGTAAGTTTGCCATTTACTGCGTCGCGGTCGGATGGATTCAAACGCCCAGGGCTCCGGACGTTTTCCGGGCCCAGCAGTGTGGCGAGCCGGTCCAGCACGAAGTTGCGCAGGGGGAGGAAGGCCTCCCATCGAACGGGTCGGAATCGATTGAAAACATGTCTTCAAAAAATCCTACCCTAAACCCACCCCAAACCCCTGTCCGTTAGTGTCTCCTTTCGTTCGCGCCAGGCTGTGCCAGGGTTAGCCTACTGCCACCAAACTCGCTAATGACCAAAATAAATATGATTAGCTGTTGGAAGTGACCAAAGGATCACATGCATTGGCTACTTCGCAAAATGGTGAAATGCCACACACAACACCCCTCCAGTTAGCATCAGTTAGCCATGTTGCGGGTGATAATTTGTGACTCTGAGGAGCTACGGGCACCAATCGCAGAGTATAATCCGTCGGGGCATGGCACAATGGCAGCAGGGGAGGTTGCAGGTTCAGCTGCTAGCCCTGAGTCTTGAGTTGGGAAAAAGTCGGGATGGCTTACTTGCAAGCCGACATCTAATTCCGCACTCGATTCCTTCCTGGCAGGGAAAGCCCCAAGCTAAAGTGTTGAACTGCGGTCACCCCAGCGGTGACGGTCCACTCCCCCTACTTCCAGCCTCATCTTGGGCGAACTCCTCTTGCGAGTCCTTCGTGATGCGAAAGCGGGAAACCAAAAGGTCTCGCCGAGTGGGCCGGGCAAGTTTCATCAATACTGTGGACGAAATCCATTTCGTGCTTGAAACCATGGGAAAACCATTGCTTGTTGGTATTTGCAAGGGAATCGAATCATTCCAGGGTTCCTTAGGTGGTGCAGGATTTGGTCCATCCATAGTGGTGCATAGCCTTGTCATTCACCTGGTACACAGGTACCTCACACCTCTGGGCTGGCAACGGGCTGAACTTACACATGTCTGCTGCCACAAACGAAGCCTCGTGCCTGCGCGTTGTCACCATGCCGGGTCACCCCACATGTGAGCGTGCGACAAACTCGCAAAGACCATTGGGCCATTGCCTTTTGACACGGGTCCTGCCCGAAAGAAATACAGACAACCATGTGCCTTTGAGAAAAAACAAAAAAATGGGCATGTCTGGCACCTCGGGATTGCTTCGTGAAGTTGCTGGCCTTTGAACGGAACAAAGGAGGCCTTAAGTACATGTGAAAGGCCTTGCCTCCCACCACATCTTGCACGGCAAAGAATGAACACGTCCCGCATTTCCAGTTGAGCCATGTTAAGCCAAGCAATTTGCGAGTAATTAGTTGATCCAGGGGTTCACATCCATCCACACCACCAATCCACAGCACCAACTAAGGGTTACCTGAAACGAGGCCATCCCAAACGCATCGCGTGCCTGAAGGAGGTCCCGTGCCAGCGACCCCACCGACGCGCTGCCGCCCACATCCTAAGCCCAAGGCCCATGGCCCACAAGAAACGGCTCCATTCCAGGGGTTGACTCCTTGTCCATTCTTTTCAACCAGCGTTCTTTGAATGGAAGGTATAGATCCATGGTCCGCACTCACCAAAACTGGTACCCTGCCAGCAAGCTGAACAAAAATCTCGAGCCAGTGCTCTGTGCACTTCCATGCTTGGTAAGAGGACACGAAATCCGAGGTTGAAGGGGGCACCAAACCACTTCGAAAACTTGTGCAGAACCCGTCGCAGCCCGCCCAACAATTTATCCTTCCTCGCATTCCTGTGCTTCCTCTTTTGCCACAGCGAGTCAAGGCGCCTCCAAACCTCCAAACCCCAAGAACATGAAAAGATCTCGCAAAAAAAGAAAACATGTCGGCCCGAAAAAAAATGTGCCTCAGCCCGGCTGAGCGGGCTTTAAGGCCCAAACATCCCAAACCCCAAACACATGAAAAGACCACAAGCCCAAAACAAGCAGCCGACCAAAAGAACACATGCCGACCCAAAGGCATCCCCAAGCCCAAAAAACATGGAGAGATCTCAAACCCTTCCCTTCCTTCCAGTCGCGACGAGTCTGTCTGACGCATCCCAAAAACAAAACCCAGGCCCAAAACATCAAGAACCCAAAACAATAACAACACAACAACCCAAGCCCAACATCAAACCCCTGCCACCGTTGCATCCCCAAGCCCGGCTGTGGGCTGTGGCCGACAGCAGGAGCTCCAAGTGACGCGCCAGCCTCGGGGGACCCAAGCTTTTGGGGAGTGGGAGGAGTTGGCGGCGAATCTTCGCAGACATGCCGCTCTTTCTTTTACTTCCAGTCCTACACCGGCCGACCCCAAAAAGGGGCCCTGCTGTGGAATCTTTGGATGTTTAGCAGTCCTTCGACACGCGGCCATGCTCATGGCCAGTTCTGGCTGAAAAGCGGCGTGAACAAAAATGCGCAAGTCTCAATAGTCTTTTTTTTCTCAGGTGCCCCACCTCAAGATGAGTTGTGGGCATCTTTGGGCTCAGCCATACTTCAGGCACCTTCCGAACTCTCCAACACCACGAGGGGAGAAGCCAACCGGACACACGGCACGGGGCACCCGGCTCAAGCTCCAGATGTGGAGGGAAGGGATGGGGACCCTCCAGCAGCACCTGCGCCATGCTTTGGGGGAAGTGATTCAAAGCGTCGGCCTGTGCAGTTGACCATGAGAAAAAATGGCTGTGGGTCAAAACCCTGTACCCCTGGTGAACATCAAAATAGGTGGCAACCGCCCCAAAATGGAGCCATAGGTTATGCCCCATGGCCAAATAAGGACAACATGTGCGAAAGAGCAGACCCTGTGGTGCTTTTGTTTGCTCTCTGCACCAGGAAAAATCAGTTCACTGCGTGTCACAAAGGTCCGCAGCTGAACAGGCTTTGCCTTTGGTCAGGCATGCTCGACGCCCTCACCTAGATCTGCAAGGTTGGTGCACTGAACACCGTGCACTCTGAAGAGATGTTCGGTTCGCTCCCGAAAGCTGCTTCGTGCGTCGTGTCCTTAACCGAGCGTCAAACAGGGGATCAAGAAAGAGTATGACTAAACACACCCATGCCCTGCTGGTTATTGTGTCTCTTTAGAACATGTGCTACATAGAACCCAAGGTGATGGGATGAACCCAGCGACCCATTCCCCGCGCCCTGTGGATGGCGAACCAGAAGTTCACGCTGATACTCCAGGCATGGCCTCGCGCGTGTTTCTCTCTATTCCCCCTTTTTCTTATCCTGAAAAGGGTATCCTTAAAAAACACCCACACACTCAAATGGGTTGTGCATCCCATCGGAAACTCATTCCCAAAGCACTCAGGAAAGGCGACGCTCTTGAATATCAAGTCAACCAACACTGTTGCAAAGACACCTGTGAGGTATAGCTCCCATCTTCCCTGAATGCTCCAAAACTTTGGCACATCTTCCGTGGGCCCGGCTGGAAGGAGCAACACCCTGCACGTGGTGCCACCAGTGCCTCAGGTTCCAGGTTCCCACGCGGCCTGCAGCCTTTAAGGCATGGTGCCTTGGATCAACAAAGCATCTGCCTTTGCCACGGTCACAAGGTTGGAGCTCCCGCCAAAAACAACCTGACAATCGCTGAGTGCCCCGAGTTTAGGTGAAATTGAGACAGTGCCAAAAATGTGTCTGAGTTGACCAATACGCTGACTGTATGGGTGTTCCAATCGGACATCTTGATCCTGCCTCACCTGAGTCAAAATCAAAGTCTACCCAGAACCATGTAGATCATCATCTAAACAATTGAAAAGGCGGACATCCGCACCCATTTCTGGCTGGGATGGCTGGGATTGCCCCTTACCCTCCAATTCCCCGGGCTTCGATTGTGACTCACCGGCTCAGCTCTCTCAGCGATCTCGGCCACAGCCAAGGCATCGCTAAGGCCGCCAGGCGTTGGCACGAAGAGCGCCTCGTTCTCGCGGAGGCAGGCCACCTCCGCAAAAAAAAAAGCAGCCGACCAGATCTCGACTGGAACGCCAGTTCGAGGAAAACTCAAAAGCAAGCTTTCTTCAGGATCCCAAAAATCAAATCCTGGTGACCAGCCATTTGCTCCCACTTAGATGGATCCCATCATCCACTACGATGAAATCTCACTACGATGGAATCTGAGGGAACAGCCTTGAGAACGGCTTCCGGTCAGTTTCGAAGGTTGGCAGATCATCGAATCCAACAGAATGAGAGCACCTGTGCAAACGCAGCAAGCCACAGCTGGCAGATCTGGCCTTCCTTCTTGCCTACTTTGTACCGGCCGAATCGACCCAGAAGAGGGTTTGGGGATCTGGCGGCGGCATGGATGCCAGGCATCACATGCCGTACTGGCTCTGCGATGACAATACATGCGAAGGAAAACGCCCTGCAACTGCCGGCAGGGCACCCACCCCAGCCCACTTTCGGCTGGGGCGCCATCCTGACTGCAATGGCAATACAGGGATAAAGAGTTCTTCCACAAGCCCATGTGGCCATGGGTCAAAATCCAAAGCCCGTACCCGAAATGAACGGGACCCAATCCAACCACTAAAATAAGTCCTAAAATGGGTGGTGAAGTCACCTACCCCAAAATGGGATCCCATACCGGTTTTGACAACCACAGCCATGTGATGTTGCGAGACAGCCATATGATTAAACCACCAGGTAAACCAGGAGTTCTACCAAAACAACCAAAAGGACACCTATGGATCGAGCTCTTCCACAACCCCATCTTGCTTCCCCTTCCAACACTCCGAACGGCGACTCGCTGCAAGCCCAGGCGCGGCCCCGCGCTTTTGCAGCATGGCGGTCTTGGGGAAGCTGCGGCTGTCGATGTGCTCGAGGTCCACCTAGCAAACGGACGAGGGACCCAAGCTGGAGGTGTCCCTTTATTTTGGTGAAAAAAGCAACATGTTTCAAATGGTTGCAAAATGTATCTTTTAAGGAGCCCTGCCAAGTTGAGCATGTTGCTCGAAACTCACGGGAAATTATGTTCACCCCAGATCAATACACACCTGGTTGGAAAGGCAACACAGGTGGCATTTATGCGGGGAAGTGTTTGGTAGAAACACTGTCAGGGAACCACCAGATCAGCTTTCTCTTACTTGGTCTTTCAAGACTCCTTCCCAGCAAGAATCTACGTAAACCAAGCGAGGTTGGTACAATCGCAGAAATGACCCTCTGAGTCAAGCAACCCGAAAAGGCGAGCCCCTCGTTTCGACCAACCAAGCGTCGTCAACTGCATCTTAAAAGGTAGGGTTTCTGTTCGCCCCACGTCGTGCGGAGTTGATTCTTAGGCTTCAGCCATGGAATACTCGTCGTAGGGGTGCGCCACAGGGAAGGGGTACAGCCTCGGCGTTTTCAGCCCCAAACCTCAGCCCTGGCCCGGTTTGACGGGCGGAACTGGGATGTGTACCCATGTGCCATCAAAACTCCCATGGGCCATGGTGCCCTCAATAGCATTTTTTGTTTAAAGACCACTACGAGCATCAAGGGGTATCACCATGTCGAGTGGCCCCAAGCATTAAGGGGTATGAAGTGGCGACGTCTGCAGGCCTCCGCCTCTCGGCCCCACGCCCCTCGGCAGCGCCCGGGTCGAAGAGGAGGAAGCGCTTCTCTCCTGCGACCTGCGCGAGCCCGCCTTTGGACCTAAGCACCCCAAGAAAAGTCCACCTCTACCATGGTATTAGAGAACCTAACGACAAGCAATGAAACCTAACGACACAGGTCGTAACGTCGGCGTGCAGGGAAAGACAGTGGCGACCTTGGGCCATTGCAAAACCATATGAGCGAAAACATTGCTGAGACCTTGTAGATGGGCCCTCCATACTGCGGATGGACGAAATGCACCAAATGGGAAGTGGTTTATCCCAGTATTCATGGGGGTTCAGTCAGTATCACTGGAGGGAGTATCTTTGTTTGAGCCGCTCCCGATCTCGCTCGCTCCCGGGTCCCGAAATCCTCCCCAAAAGCCGCGCCTGCAAGTAGATGTTGTCCTCAGCAAGGTGCTGACAGTGGAGGTCCGAGCTATGTCACTTGATCCCTTCACAGCAAGGGCTATTGATAGACCTTGAGACACTGCTTCACCCACGTAGAACATGACAAGCACCTCTTGGACGCCTTACTGGCCACTTTGGGTGCGCTCCTTTCGGGCACACCTGGGCCAATAAGACTTCCCAAGTATGGGCCCGTGTGTATCCCCAAAACGTTGCGAGGAAACTCACCAAACACATTGGCCACGGGGCATTGGTTGTTCAGTTGCAATATGGGGATCGATCAATAGTGATGGCCCCCAACTGAGCATGGGCATGTTTTCCCCATTTAGTAGAAAATGTCACGTTTTTTGCTGGTTGCCCCAATTGGAAGATGAGATGTAAAGGATGTTTCGATCAACCCCCATATGTCAAGGGCCTCATGTCAAATGCTCCTGGAAAGCGAACTCGCACGGCTCAGCCCGCGACGTACTGGTCGTAGTGGGCGGGCGACAGGCCTAGGCTGGAATCTAAGCTCTGCCCATGTTGGATGACTTCATTGCCATTGCTTGCCAACCAAAAGTGCGCCTTCCAATTTCACAGAACCCCAGCCACGGATTTAACATGAATCCTGCCCTATCCGAGCTTGTGTTTGCTGAATTGTCCAATCACAGGCTCGATTGAATTTCATTTTACTTGCTTGCCCCTTTGTTCAGGTGGGCTTGCGCTTGCGGAAACTTCATCTGGCTGCTTTTGTCTTGGTCCTTTCAGTGGGCAGTGGCATTGGTTGATGAATGCGATTTATTACCGCTGACCCATTGCTGATGGCATATGGGCCTGTTGTGCCCAGCCGAGTTGCTGGTTCACCTAGCTCGCTTTGTGAATCAGCCCTCGTGCGCAAAGAACACGTCCAGGACGAGTGACAAACCAAATGGGAATGTAAAAAATCAATGGAAAGCCATGGGAACCACTCAAACCGAGGGGGCGGGACCCACGCCTTTCCTTCCTAGCGGCCCCATCCAAACTCAGCACAGCGGCTTTGGCCAGGCCCCACAAACAGCTGCGAGCGCGACCAGAAGCCAAAGCCTCCGGCGGCCTGGCTATTCAGAGAGGCCACCAAATCACGATGGTAGCTTGTTTTCCCTTTTAGTGGTTGAAACGTCATCCTTTGAGTGGTTTTACCCAATGGTCATCCCATGCGAAGGACCTTTGGATCAGCCCCCATGTACCCAACATGGTGCACTGGTAAATGGAACCAAAGACTAAAACCTGCGGTCCATGTCCTGGTGGTACCCACATGTGGAAAATGTATCGCATGCTGGGCTGGAGCTGTGATTTCGCAGGCCTCACCAAACTCAGGAACCCACGGTTTACGCGTCATTGGGTCTCTCAGGAATACGCAGAATCCAACACCCCAAACGCTTTTCAGATCAAAACCATCCAAACTGAAGCATGACACGCGAGGGAACGCTGGAAGGCCACGACACCCGTTTTCCATTTTCCTTTGCCTGGGCGCCATACTGTACAAGGCACTGGGCATTTGAAGTCTCCGTCTCTGGGAGGCTCCAAGCCTACCGTGGTGGAAAAAGCTGGGCTTTGCCCGAGCTCACCTGGCCATGGGTCAAAATCCAAATCGTATGCCAAGTGAACGGGACCCAATCCAACCACTAAAATAGGTCCTCGGATTGGGTGTTGAATTCACCTACCCACCAAAATGGGATCCCAAAACAGTTTTGACAACCACAGCCAACTGGCCATCATCAACTCACTCTGTGAAGGGCGGCGGCCCGCAGCCCTGGCATCAACCCCTCGCCACCACTTTGAGTGCTACCTCTCAGCTGGGATGCAGGACGCAGGAAAGGAGTCGGATGCACACATAGGTGTCCTTTTGGAAAAATCGATGGGTGTCCCTGGTAAATGGAACAAAACCCCATCTAAACCAGTGGAACCCTTCTATCTCTAACCACACCAACCTAAAAAGGACACCTATGGATGCGCGGGAAGTCTCACAACATCACATTTCTGGAAGAAAAAAACACAGCAAAGCGTGCATGGATACAAGCTGAAGCAGAGCAGAATGGCCGTCCGTCCTAGCTTTTCTTGGGTGGATTTCAACAGCCATGCTAGGCGCAAATCGACCAGCCCCCGTGGTTCCGACACGCAGCCAGAACGAATGGTTCATGAGTTCCCCCCTCTGCCGCTCGTTGAACCCTGACTTCTTAGTTGAATTTTCTTGGCTTTTGATCAAACTCCTTCGCATAAACCTCCTCTTTGTGTCCTCTTCTTTGAAAGAACAAAGAGAGCAAAATCGGGGCAGCCCAATCTCAACCGCTGCCACCCAAAATTCCATGGCTTGACAACCAAGTGGCTGGAACCCAAGGTTGAATTCAATTCCCAAACCCCCAAACCATAGGTGCCCTTCTGGGGGAAATAGATGAGCAAACCACCTGGTAAACCAGGTATCGCCTTCGATTTTTCGACCAAACCCACCAAACATAAAAACAACACCTAGGCTTCCCGTCAAACGACCTTAAAAAGGAGGCCCCATCCACTCCCGGGACCTGGAGGTCTAGTCCCCCCCCAAGAAGGACCCCCCCCCCCAAATCCCCCCAAACCCCCAACCCGCCACGGCCTGGGGGCACCGCCGCTGCATCTCCTCCTGGCGCTGCGCGAAGGCCGCGATCGCCTCCCCCACCGCCGCCGCGGAGGGGAAGCGCCACATCCGCAGCAGCCGCTGCGGCAGGAAGGGCACCTGGCGCCGAAAGTGCGCCCAAGCCAAAACCGCCTCCGAAGATTTTGCGAGTGGCGTGCCACAAGTGGGGTTCCAACGGACCCCCAAACAATTTAGAAATTGCCGGTGTCCCGGAAAGAGAAACAAAGACAGAGATTGGGGTGGGTTCCAACGGACTCAAAGAGAATTTAAGGGTTGTGTTGTCCCAAATAAAACAATTTTGGTTGGGCTCCAAGAGTTCCACAAGCATTCCCAACCCTCCGAACTTTAGGGCAGAACCAGAATCCCAACGCTGAGGTGTCCCAGAAAGCCCAAAAAAAATGGTTGGGTTCCAATTCGCCCAACCCTCCTATTTGAGCCTAACCAGGCATCCCACTCGAAGTCTTTCTGGGGGGTTCTGGGGAAAAGAGGCCACCTTCCTCTTTCATAGGACAGTGGTCCCACGGAAGATACTATTCAAGAAACTATCCCATGAGGGGAACCCTATGAAAAGATGGGCTTCTGGATATTTTTTTGGAGGGAGCTGGGCCCGAGACTTCTCGGAATCCCAACAGATTTCCCTTTCCCATGCAGAGGGGATCCCTTGCTTCACTCGCGGCAGGTTCCCCCAAAACTGTGCAGAAACAGGATCCGGCAGCGCCGGTGCCGCACGGAGGGCGGCCTCATGAGTGGCTTGGCTTTGGCTTCGTTCAAAAGACGGCCGCAGAAATTGTCCAATTTTTCAAACTCGCTCGCGAGGACCCCCGAGCGGGGGAACAAAAAAAAAAAAAAACGCGACGATTGAGGCGACCCCAGGAGGGGCAAGCTGGGCTTTCAGCACCATCGAGCACCATCACGTTCCAACCAATCTCAATGGATTTTCCCCCAGGGTTGGTATGACCCTCTCCCTCGTTCTGTCCATTCCTCCTGACTCTTTGGCGCTTTTCCCTAGGTAGTCAATACATGGGAAATGATCCTCATGTACAACGTTTGATGTCATAATTTATCATATTGTGTTTAATAATATAAAATAAAAATAGTGTATATATATATATGATTGTTTGTTCCCCAAATTTTCTATATGTTAATTGAACCTCCCCCTTTTCCCCAGGTCTCCCGAAGCGCGAGCATTCCCGTCCCAGCCCCGCCGAGTAGAGCCCGTAGCGCTCCGTGCGCTGCACCGTGCGGTCGAAGTAGACGCCCGCCGGGAAGGCGGGGGCCTGCGCGTAGATGATTCAACCAAAAAGGACACCTATGTAAGGATGTCTGATTCGATTCCCCAACTATAAATAGCGACCAAGCATGGCTTCAACCGTGGTTTCGAAGTGCGAAGTGGATTTCGTCCACCCGCCTCTATCACCCCTCCACTCGAATCCGTTCACCTTCATTCATCCCATCCATTCACCCACCAAAACAAGCCCTCAGTCCCTGGCTTGTGATGATTCCCTTGACAGATTTCGTCCACACCCACCTCTATCACCCCCATTCTCCTTCATTCATCCATGCACCTTCATTCATCCCACCAACTCACCACAACAAGCCCTCAGTCATAGGTGTCCTTTTAGGGGAAATAGATGGGTTTCCCTGGTAGATGAGTAAACCACCAGGTAAACCCTCGGTCCCACCTGGAAGCAGAACCAGCCCTCCTTGGAGGGCCCATAGCGTGGCCCCAGCAGCGGTGGGGCATAGACCTCCACCTCCGACAGCCGCAGGCCGCAGCTCTCCACCACCGGCACGGAGACTTCGAAGAGGTGCACCTGCCAGTTTCCCCGACTTCCCCGACTTGAGGGGAAGGCCACCTGCCAGCCCCCAGCACACCCCTCTTGCGGGAGGGAGTGAATGGGGTGGTTGTGGGGTGGTGGTGTGGTGGGGTGGTTTGTGGGGTGGTGGTGGGGGATTTGGGGCGGGCCCATGCAAAGCAATTGCTTTGGATGCCTGGGAATCCAGGAGACATCCGCCGCAGGGTCGTGCCCAGGATGTGCTGCTTGGTGGGACACGTGCGGTTGCCCCCCAATGGCTTCAAAGCCCCACGCGTGGCTTGCCGCAACTGCGAAGTCAACTTGACGTTGGAAGGGGAGCAAAAAACTAAATTCTAGCAGTTAAGTGGGGGCTTCCCACTAAACCACAACAAGCAAAAATGCAAAATGTGTCCCAACAACAACCATGGACCTGAACGCGACTCCAAGGTGCAGGGTGGCCCATTGTCTCACCAAGGACATTGCCTCGAGTAGAAAGCTCAAGGGCAACCCAGACCTCCCCGCCTTCTTGTCCGAGCCCGTGTACCCTGAGGCAATGCAGGAGGTGGTCTGCCAGTCATCGTGCAAGGACACCGAGGGGTCGTAGCCGATAAGCCTCAGGTCTCCATGTCGTTCCGCTAAATGGAATAACACCCAGCGACACTCATCTATGTTGAACCAAACTAAGCTTAAAAGGACACCCATTCTCCCAAATGAGGAAGAAGACAAAAAACTCAGCCGTGACCCCAGCCGCTTTGTCCCTGGGACCCCACCTCCCGGCACCTCCAATAGCGCGCGTCTCGCGTCTGGCCGGGCGGCCGCTTCAGGTGGGCGATGTAGAGCCTCGCCACCACCACCTTGGCGACGCCGTGCTCCTCCACCACCTGACTTTTGAGCAGGGCTGTGAGAAATGACTCAATTGGTTGTATCGTTTTTTGGAAAACCCGCCGTATCCCCGGGCTTTTGGAGGTTTTCTGGAAAGAAGGATCCCTGGAAAGAATGGGGGAGGTACCCCTAGAATGACCACTTCTGTGATACAACAGAAAGGGCCTCCCAAAGACTAACCCCCCATATAAAGAGGATTCCCTTGTTTCGTCGAAACTCGAAGAACCGGGAGGCGGGGAGGGGGGGGGCAAAAGACTGGCAAGATGCGGGCCCAAACAATTTAAAATGTCCCGCGCGGGCAGTTTTCTTCGCTCAAAAAGGCTTCGTGGTACGCTGGGTCGCTCGACCCCGCAATGATTTACCATCCCACGCAGGTTGTCCAAAGCACTGCTGCACCAGGCGGCATGAGATTCGAAGCATTTGCTTCGGATTCTTAAAGCAGGCCTTGAAAATGCCTGGGCCCGCCTCACCCCAAACATCCCCAAACCCACCTTGAGCCACTGGAGCCCTTGGTTTCGACCCGCGACTCCCGAGCCGCGACTCCCGAGCCGCGACTCCCGACCCGCGGCCTGCGTGAGCCGCTCGGGGCTCACCTCCAGCTGCCCCCGGGGGAAGATCTCCTGAGTCACAATCAAAACCCGGTATTAAAATGCTTGACCCAGAACCATGCAAGGAAAAACAAAGGCGGCTGCAACTATTTGTGGCTGGGATTGTCCCTTACTAACCTTCATCTACCCGGGTCTTGATTGTGGATCTCCTGAGCCTCCACGATCCGCCGCAGCCCTAAGGCGTCCAGCGACAACGCGCGGTACGTGGTCACCCGCCCCAGTGCCCGCGCGAAGCCTGGACAAGTGGCGCCGGTGAAGGAAGCCCGGACCAAAACTTGCGATCGGTGCGAGAGATGCAGGGAATGAGAAATGGAGTGACCCCGACAAAACTATCCCCTATTGTTTGAATCCCCAGGTTCATTCCCTCCTTCCCCACTGGCACCAGCAAGAAAAGGAAATCTCTGCTGGAATTCGGCAAAATCAAACGGATTCTTGGCCAAATAGCGGAGACGGTCGCTTTGCCTGCTGGAAAGAACATGATTGCCGAGTGTCCTCAAGCATCTTGATGCTTTCATTTGCTCACTTCTCCCAAAGGCCAGTTTCGACATAGCGCGCTGGAAAGTGCACAGAGTTCGGTAGGGCCCTTTACGGGGTTCCGCTTTGTTACTACCCCAAGGTAGACCTAAACCCAGGGTTTCCCTTCTGGGGAAATTCAACCCCTGAATTTAACTCCACTTTGGGGTCGTCAAAAGAAGTGGAACCCTCGCCTCCGGAGAAAGACCCCAGCCACCCAAAAGCCACCCGCCTGCCAGCGCCTTCTCTGGAGTGTCCGGCGCCGGGTCCATCTCCTGCGCGCCATGGAGCTATACTCCTAGAGGGGCATTGTACTTACCTCCATTTGCTTAAGTCCCCTGGAACAAATATCTCCAGTAGTGATAGATTCCCTTTAAAGGGGAAATTACCCTCCCACCAATTAACATGGAGCCTAACAAGGGGCTTCTGGAAGACCACTTTTCCTTTCAAAGGGACACGTTGTCAGGTTCCACGGTAGTTGGCGGGATGGTAGCAAGTGGGAAATAAGCATGGTTATAACCCAGAAAAGCCGAGGTTACAAGTCTCCGTTCAGCGGGGAATCACCAGGCGCACTAACCACTAAGCACCCTGCCCTTTTAAGCAGTGGGCCCCTTTTGGTTGGCACCCAAAAAGGACCCAACCATTTCAGCAGGAACACACAAGTCCAAACTGTCCGTGTGATTTGCTGGGCGTGCTGCCTGGCGCAGCAATCCAGGCATGGGAAATCCGATACCGTCCATGCTCTTGGCTTCTCATCCGGTTTTTAGGGGGTTTCAACCTTTGGTAGGGTCAACACAGAAAACGTCTCGGAGAAGAAAAAAAAACTGTGCTGTGCCAGGGTGGGCCTCGAGCCTACACATATTATTCAAACATGTCCTACTGTCATCACTTTAGTCAAGGATAAATGCAAAGATGACCAATGGTTGACCCAGCGACAGGCAGGGTTGGGCCAAGCTCTTGCTTCAACATGTTTAAACAACAATTGTCGAACCAACGACAACGAGACAACGGGTATTGTTTCACCACCTGCATCAAGTACCTGATGGTCAAGTCGCAGCTGTTCAACACATGAGCCATGAGCAAAACCTGGTATTGAAATGGCCGTAATCCCAGAACCATGTAGAGAATGACAAAGGCAGCGCCCATTTCTGGCAACGGGATGTCTCCCTTACCAGCCTTCACCCAAAACAAACTGTCATGTCCATTCCGAGCTAAACAAATGTCCCATACCCATATGGGTCTGTCCTTTTCGAGGCTACCCTTGGGGTGTGTCTGAAAGGAGGCCCCTCCCACGCCCGGGACCTGGACGTCAGCGCGGAGCTCCCGAGGCTCCCGAAGCTCCCCCCCCCGCCTGCGCCCAGCGAACGAAGCGCCGCCAGCGGGTGCCCACGCCGGGCCAGCGCAGCGTGGGCCGCAGCCGCTCCAGGCCGCAAGCCGCCAGCGCCTTCCACATGGCCTGCGCCTCAAAACGCCAGCAGCCGAAGAAGAAGAAAAAAAAAGAGAGGTAGATACGGGGAACATCGCCGCAACTTCTTCTGGATTTGTGGCAAAAGGGGACGGATGTTCCTTTTGGGCTTGAAGGCACTCGATACCTGCAACTCAAGTTGAACCCCGAAGCCCGTGTGAGCCCATGAGCGGGCAACACGGACCGTTGCCCACACACCTCCGGCTGTGTTTTTGTTCTTGCGCTTCATCCCGCCCTGTTGTTTTTGCGTTGTGGAAGGAACCATTGGACCATGGGCCGTACACATACCCGCCTCGGCTTCGCCGTAGTCGTGGGCAAGCTGCTGCACCTCATCTGGACGCGTGTCTTGTTTACTGCTTTATGCCTGTTTGGTATCGTGTATGGCCTCCAAGCTGCATGACCAGTTGTTTGGTCATTGTAAATGTGTTGTGTGAAGTCTTGCTTCCAGTATGCCGCTTTGTGGGCCGTCTTGATAGCCACCAAAGATTGGCCTTGCTTTTCACACGCTCCCAGGCTGTACTGGTCTGGCAGCCGCATTGAGCACCCAGTTGTTTGGCTCAAGTCGCGCATGCATTGTGTCAGTCCTCGAACTCAAAGTGCCCAAACATGAAGAGTGGCTTCTGCCAGCTTTCTGTTGAAGCGGAAGCCTGCTAACCAAAGACTCTGGAACATCAGGGATACGATCGCGCCGAGCTTCCGTCACAGCAGTGAGCGGGCGCCGCGACAGCATCCACTGAATCTCCTCATCCGAGACATCCTCAGGGCTCCAGTCTCCAAGTTGGTCAAACCACAGGGGAAGGCCCATGCGTCTCTCCAGTCAGATTGATCGGAGCGGCACAAGCATTCACAAACCTGAAACAAGGATTCATCCTCACAATTCGCTCAGGGCAAACGGCAAACCCCAAGACACGTGCCCATCGAATCACCAAAGGCACCCCTTCAGAAGAGAACATGGTCAGCCTTTCCGGGGGCAGGGGTCTGTGAACATAAACTTCATCGGCTTTGGATTGCCGTCAGCCTTGGCAACTGCCAATCCAAATCTGGCTGGCCTGCGACAGCATCGGCCAGTGACTTGATCCCTGTGCGTTTTGTTCCACAGGAAGGAAAAAAAAGAAAAGGAACCTGCTCTTACAGCTCACAACAAGAATCTGACGCCTCCCTCACCCATGCTCCATCCTTCGAACTCCTTTTTGTGGCTCTCCCGTCCTCCGAAGGTCCGCCGCTCGTCCACTTCGAGATGTCCTGCAAGAACTCCGCTGGGGGCTCCTCCATGTCGCTGGCTGAGTGACTGGGCGCTTGGGCCGAGAACGAAAATGCGGCGGCATGGCCACGCTCCGCGCGAGAATCCGCCGAGACAAGTGCCCTACGCCCACAGCTCAAGAGGAAGCGCCCAGGCACTTGCAGCCGGCAAAACCAAGGGACATGGAAATCCGGAATCCCATGGACATGCCCTGGATCCATAGTCCCAATCGAAGACTTCATCTCCACACCATGACATGCACCAACAATTTGCAGCTGAGAGATCGCAATCAACGGCGCTCTGGAAATCCCGTTCCGAGGAGCCATCAACGCTATTGAGGTATGGCAGAATGTCGTTCCGCAAAAGCGCCCCTTCTGCCAAAAACGTGGCCATCCAAGAAATCCCCCTATCGTGGACAAAGCAGATTCCCCCCCCCCATTTCCATCCATCCATCCAACCAAAAACAACGCGAAACAAAAACGTGTGGCCATGGGTCAAAATCCAAATCTTACCCCTACCAACCAAAATGGGATCCCAAAACGGTTTTGACAACCACAGCCATGTCAGGACCTGGACTGGACCATCCGATGTCAAAAGAACGTACCCGTCGGCCACCCGTCAGCCGCGCCGTCCTGCAACTGCTCCAAACGCCGGCGATCCACGCGGGACTCGCAGTCCTGGCAATGGCGTCCAGCAAAAGAAAGAAGACAAACAAACAAGCAAGCAAGCAAACAAGCAAAAACAAATACAAACCAACAGAAACTAGCATGGAATGCAAAATCGCGCATATCCTGGAAGGCCACAAACAAAATGAGACGCGAAGAGCTTGCAAGCACATGGCACAGTCATCACAGCCAAGCACACGAAAGCGGCAATGTACAGAAGCATTCCACGAACGGTCACTGCCAGCATTCTATGCCTGACGTCACGTGGTGTGAGCAATCCACATGCCTGCTGTTTTAGTGGCGTGTGCTAGACGTAATGTGCGGGGTCACTGACGAAATCACGGCAAAAGAAGGAAAGCCCGAGATTCGTTTAGCAGCTATGCAACCAATGCTCTGATAGTACAAACAAGTCCTCCTAAGAAGCCTGCTTCAAGCAGGAACCTCTTGGGCAGAACTCGGACGCACCGTGTTTCCATGTTGGTTTCCTGCAGTTTCCTTCTGTCTGTCTGTGACTTCAACTAGGAAGCATTCGGTGGACATTCTTAGACGTCATTGAGCCAGCATCCCCCAAACAATCTGGGATGCTAAAATTTAGGCGCAAACATGCACTTGAAGCCCGGGTTCTCTTTTTCTGGGGATGAACTGAACCACGCCTGGCTGTACGTCTGTCCAAAAGTCCAACCGTGGAGCCCTGCACTCGCAGATTCGGGCGCCTTCCGGAATCCCCCCACCCCGAGCAACCCGAGCGCCGAGCGGCCGCCGGCCCGGGGGAATCCGCGGCTCCCGGGGCGCCCGGCGGCGCGCAGCTCCGCGCCGATGCCGGGGCTCCACGTCTCCCGCAGGCCCCGGCCGTCCGCCTGGCGCCTCGGCGCGAAAGCTTCTCGCGCCACCGCTCAGAAACCCTGGTGTCGGATTCGAGTATCTTGTAAATACCAACAAATCACGGTTTCCGCATGGCTTCAAAGTGGTGCAGGATTTTGTCCATTCGCAGTATTGGTATCAGATGAAAGTGCGATTGACAGATTCAAGTCCATGACGAGATTCTTTTCCAGGGTCCGCAGCAAGTCATAAGAGGCTCTCAGCAACTTAGGTTTTTCATGGGCGCTTTGACCACACCTAACTTGCTAGGGATGGGGGATTCATGTTCCCCATTGTGGGGAGGGATATTCCCATGACGATTGAACGCGGGTTTTCACCCTGAGCCCCCCGGCAGCACCAGCGGCGCTTGCAGGTAGTAGCGGCCTTGTGGATCCTGGCCCACATCGCGGCCGGGCAGACCACGAGGCTGTGCGGCACTCAAAACACTTTCAAAAGGGAACCAACACGAAACCAACGGAAAATTCCGTCATTTCTACACACTCCCCAAGTATAGGACGATTGGCTGGGCTGCTAGGCATGGAACTTGCACGACCTGCACTTGACAGAGAAAATCGGCGTAAACAAATATTGGGAGGCAGACAAACAGAAACCCAAGCAAACTCCTTCCATGCCTTCCTTGAAGCAGGGAGCGTGTTTGTTCGCCACTGTCATTTGCCGGGCCCATCGGCTTCTCGGAGTTTCTTAGGACCATTCCGGGAGTGAATCTGTGTCTCAGGGACAGAAAGGTGTACACGAAGATTGATGTCCACCATTTAGAGCTACAAGCAAAACCTGGGTACAGAATCGTGAACCCGGAACCATATGAGGAATTAAAAGGCAGCCGCGTCCATTTATGATTGGGATTCTCCCTTACTAACCTTCATCTACCCGAGTGTTGATAGTGACTCATGTGGCTATGAAATTTAATGTGGTGGACATTCATCTCCACCCAAACTTGATGTCGGCCATTCCGTGCTCATGTCATACCCATATGGGTCTGTCTTCTTTGAGGGGTCGATAAAAAACAGAAGAAACAAAAGAAGAAAAATAAGGGGGGAAACAAAAACAAAAACGGGTCCATCGAAGCCACGTCTGGACGCTCCCCTCACACCATCGGCTCGGCTCGGAGAGGCTCGCGCCTGCTGGGCGGCCGCCAAAAAGTTCTCGAAGGAGAGCCGCAGGTCGGCACCTCCGTCGCGATGGGATTCGAACATGGCAAGCATGGGATTCGAAGGGCCTGAGGAAACCCGAAAGAAATACAAAAAAGAATACACCCCCCCCAAGACAAAACTGGGAAGAAAGATAAAACAACTCGGCCCCCCCCCCAACAACTCGCCCGCCCCCCCCCCCCAAAAAAAAAAAGAAAGAGAGACACAAACTGTGGAGAAAGATAGAACAACCTCGCCCCCCCCCCCCAAAAAAAAAAAAACTGGGGAGAAAGGTAAAACAACTCCCCCCCCCCCAAAAAGAAAAAAAGAAGAAAGATACAACAACTCGCCACCCCCTCCCCCCAAAAAAAACAAAGAGATGCACGCATGGACCGAGCGCTGTTCGGCGAAACCGCGTCCTACCCAAAAAACGAACGCACCTCACCTCACCTCGGTTCATGTGTCAGCCCTCATCCTCATGTGGTCCCCTTCCCTCCACTCGGCCGCACGGCCAGCTTTCCTTGCCCCAGCGCGGGGTAAGGAAAGGTTGAGCATCCAATTCCCGGAACCCGAGGCCCGGGAGGAACTGGGGGCTCGGCTGGCGCGGCGCGGGGCATGCTGGAAGGCCGACATGTCGCGGTCCGCCTGCTCCTGGGTGTGGTGAGCTCCTTCTTTTCGTTTTTGTTTGTGCGAGCCTGGGCCAAAACATCTGTTTCCACATGGCCACCCCGACTGTCTCAGATGCCCAGCGATGGGAAAAAAAAGGCGTCCTGTTTTTGGTTGGGTGGCAATTTTCAGGGGAACCTTGCTAAAAGGAAAAAAAAGGGCGCCACTGGGCAACTGTGGCAATCCTTCGGGTTCCCCCCTTTCAGGGCTTCAAGAGGGCCATCGCTAGGCGCCGGACACAATCGTACTGTTTGCGCCCGTCCGTCTACAACCCACCAGCAGTTCAACAGGCAAGACACGATGCCTCTAAATTGAGGACAGTGCCATTTATACATCTTTCAAAACAAGGACGCCTATGGTGTTGGCATGCTTGTCACAGCCACTGTAAACCAAACCTGTTGTCCATCCTGTAGTTTCAAGGTTTGGCTGTGCTCTTACTAGCACTGGGATGATAATTCGGAGAATGGAAACAACAAATATTCTGACAATATTAATCCTCACCTTTGAAAGGAGTTCTTTCTGCCGATCTTGGCACGCCCCTCTACCAGTAGGCTGATATGCCAAAGTGCCATGGATACTCAGCAGGCGTCATCTACTTGTGTACGCCGTGCTAGCAGTTGCGGTTTGCTTGAAGGAAAGCTGGGAGGGGCTTGTCAAAATGGTGACCCCTTTGTTCAGCACCCGAAGAAACCAGGACTCGGACTGGTGCCTACCAGTCCGGCAATGGCAAAAATATGGACGGACCGGAAAATCAACTCGTGACTAGCAGCAAGCACAGCAGAATCAACGGCTGAACTCGATACTTCTGGACTCTCGGCACCTTCAAAGCCTCACGTGGAAATGTCTCCCAGCCAAACACGGAAAAAAGCAACCAGCGGTCCGGTACATAGTAGAGGTACCGGTTCTCCCCACCTCGGAAGAGTTGCTCTGAGTAGCACATCTGCCAGATTCCCTTGATATCTTTGCAGGGACTGAGTGTTGCAAAGCTGCCTGCATCAACTTACTCCCGAAACCTTTCCTTGTTGCAAGCCATGGCGTCCATGCAATTTGTGCCCGGCAACATTGCTGGCTCCCCTTTTTTGTGCCGACCGCACCCCTTGCTTGGGCACTCAATGACCCCCAGCTTGCAAGAAGCCAGCAGACAGGGCAAAAGAAAGGATCAACACTCCTGCGCACTCGGGTCCGCAGCCCAGAAGAACGAATCTCTCCAAGGCAGCTTGCATGAATGTCGCGACCCCGCTACAAGTCCCACACAACCCCAAGGGGGCGCTGCCGATTTCGCCGCCCCAAGTGGACCCGTAGCTCACATTGCTTCTCTGGGCGTCCAACCAGATCTCAGCACGTTCATGCCTGGCCACTCGTTGGTGTGAGAGCCTCGGCAGGCAGGCTTGCGACTCCCAGTCAGTTCGACGGAAACTAACAGAAAGCCTGAGGTCATGGCAGACATGTTCGATTGACCAAACGGTTTGTCTCAAAATAGCAGAACCCATGGGTGGAGAGTCCCTTGAGAACAACCCCCACAAGAGTACTCTCAGAAATCACAGAACATATGACGGTCGCGTAAGCTTCGGGCGCAAATATTCCACATCCCATCGCTTCCTGGACAGGCGCTCAAAACACAAGAAGACCCTCAATGAGACGCCGACATCCATCCCGGTGTTGACGTAGGTTTGTCTCCAAAGACGGGAAGCTCCAAAACTGATTTCGTTTCAGGTCGGAGTCCCAAAAAAAACACCACCCCCCAAAGGCACACCCACTTGCACGAAACGGCCAGCTCTCATGGCGGGAAAAAACTGGTCCAAATGCTTGGCGTCCGATCTGAGAAGTACAAGGACCTGACAAACAAAGGCGTGCAACAAGCTTGAGCAAGCCAGACCTCACATAGCGCAAATCCTGGAGAGCAAATCAAAACTGGAGACCCTCTTTTAGAACAGATGTAATCAGGATGACACTTTGAGAAAGGGTCCCCTGACTCTTGACACAGACCCATCTCTGGGCTCCATGAAATCTGGTGGCCTTGCACAGGGATCCTTATCCTTACATTATACACCTGAACATTGCCTTGTAAATGGTGGTTTCCCTTTATTTTGGTGGAAAAAGCCATGCTTCAAATGGGCAAAATGTATCTTTTAAGGAGCCCTGCTGCAAAAAAGGCGTTATTGCCCAACAAGAGGGGCACTCAACCACTGGGTCAGCATCTTTTCTGAGTCAATTCTGGGACCTGGGGCGATGCAGGCATGAGGTCCAGGTTGAGCATCACCACCGGGACCTCTGGCATCGAGCAACTTGGATTTCGAGAGCGGCGGATACAACCGCGGTGTCTCCCGAAGCTTGGAAAGCTGCCTTGGTGGTGCTCAGGGCATTCCCCAAGATGAGTTGACCATGTTCTGCCACTTTCTTGTCGCGACTCTCACCCTCTGTCATGATGAGTTGATCCTCTTCGCGGGTTCCCAGGAATCACACTGAGCTTTCTGTGGGACTTCTGCAGATCCGGATCGAAGAGTGACCACAGCGAGTGCATGGTGCGATGCCGCTGAGAGAATCCTCCCACACAGCAGGTGCAACCGCTGGCTTGAAACATCTCGTTGATCAACAAACATGTCATGCACGAGAACAAATCGCTTGGAAGGATGGCGCCAAGCAAATGTGACCTTACGTCAGGGCTGTTCCGATACTGAATTCATTTGTTGGCTGCAAAGCCATCTCGCTCAGTGCCTTGCCATCTCGCTTTAGAAGCCTTCCAGGAGGCTTGTCAAGGAAGAGCCCTCAAAAACACCGGTCTTGTTTGATTTTCACATAGCACCGATCCGCTTCATCTGCTTCCTTTGGATGGCGATTTGGAAACGCTGGTTGCAAGACGACCTACGACAGCATCAACCCTGCTGTCTCCAAGTGCCAACGGCCAAAATCTTAAATTGCATCCCTGCCGTTTCCCCTGCATGATTAGCTACTGGCGATGTCGACTGTGGTCTCTCTTGGATCCCAACCCCCCCCCCCCCTGCGATCTTTGCACAGGGAAGTCTCACCAAAGCATGGCGAACCAATCCAGAGAAGCAAAACAAAGACTTTCATTTGCTTAAGCCCCCTGCAAAAAAATAAATATATTTCCAGCAGTGATAGATTCCCTTTAAAACCAGCAAGGGAAAAATTAAAAAAAACAAAAAAATCTTAAGCAAATGGACGAAGAAGGGCTGCCATCCGCGGAATGCGGGAGACTGAGTCTCCCCGCACGCCGCGCCACATAACCCAGGGCTCGTTGAAAGCCCTCCGGAGTTTGGCAGTCAACGCGAGGCACCTGCAAACGCTTGGCATCAAATACCCGCTCACCAATTGACATTATGGAACCTGACAGGGCTGAGACTTCCATGTTCCTTTCAAAGGGACTGTCAAGTTCCATGTTAATTGGGGGCAAGGGCCCATCCCCTCCGCCGCAAAGCACCAGACACAAGGCAAAGACCAGAAGCAACCGCAAGGCATCAAAGGTAATGCGCTCTGAATCGCTAGACGCGAACCACGACACGAGAATGGCATATTCAGGCAAAGGTATGCGCTTGTTGTGCGATGTGTATCTACCAAGCCTTCTCATCTGTACAAGCAAAACGCAACATGGGTGCGTAATATGGTTTGAAAAATGAACCAATTCAGCAGTCCGCTCAAGATGCGCAAATGCCGTGCAAACCAGCTGGGGTTGACGAGGGAAGAGCACGTTTCAAAATGCGACTCATGTCATGGGTTCGCTGCCATGGTTTGGCTTCCTGCCCCATGTTCAGTTCTGACATCACCAGGGAAGAGGCACATGCAAAGCTGGCATCCAAATGGATCAAAAAGGCCATAAAACTCGATGCCAGCCTGCCTCGAGAACGCTCCAATGTGTGGATCAACTACAGCTTTCATAGACTTTCGTGTGTGTCGGGTGGCAGCTGCACTGCGTTAGATTGACAAAATTCCCGGCGCTGGAGGCACCTTCCAAGCAATGTTCAAGCATGTTTCCATCAAAGGGAAATGCAGGCCCACTACCACTGCAGTCTGCTGGTTCCCCCCCCCCTGAATTTGAAACGAGTAGTCCTGGAATCACCTCTGGGAAGCTCTGTTTGATTGGTTTTAAGGGGACGCAACAGGAAAGAAACCATTTTGGGGGGTCCCCCCCAGAATCTGCCTCGCCACCCACCAGCCAGGGCTCAAAGCGGCCGGTGGCATCAGCCGCCGGTGCACCCACCTGGCGTGCCCCAAACGGAAGTTAACCCATTTCTGGGCTCAGATCCCCTGCTAAAAGTTTAACTTTTAGCGGGTCAAATGGAACCCCCCACTAAACACTGAAAGTCTAAAAGCGGGAGCCACCAAGATTTAGTTGCCTCCAAGGCGAAATATCCGCTTCTTGGTCTCAAATTCCAACTCGGGAAACCCATTTGAGTCACAATCAAAACCTGGTACAAAAATGGTGAACCCAGAACCATGCAAAGAATTAAGAAGGCGGACATCCGCAACTATTTCCGGCTGGGACTGCCCCTTACTAACCTTCATCTACCCGGGTTTGGATTGTGGCTCATTTCAAGAAACAACAGCTGGCCGCCAGCTCTTGCCAACGCAAGGCAAATCAAGCCCGTGTCAAAATGGAACTCTGGGCTTCCTTCCGGCAGGTTAGTGGTCATCACACAAGCCATGATTTTGCTCCTGAAAAATCAGGCCGCAGTATATCCATGAAATCAAAACAAATAAACAAATCACTGAAAACTGGCCGCAAAGTTGATGCTCATTGAAGTCAGGGGCATAGGCGGCCTATTGGCAAAATGGATTGCTTCTCCCGGTACATGGAACGAAAACCCAAGCTTTAGCGCGGAACCCATCTTCGGATCAAACCCAAAAAGGACGCCCATGCTCCCAAATCCGAAAAACAAAAAAATATCCCTTCAGCTGCCCCAGCCGCTGGGAGCTATGGACACAGCCCCCCCACAGCCCCCAAGCGTCGCCTCCTCGAAGGCGCGCGCCGCGCTTGCGCGGCCGCCCTGGGCCACCTCGCGCATCAGCAGCGAGCCCTCGCGCCTGATGCGCGCGCTTGCGCGCGGCGGAAGGCGATGGAATCTGTGGACGCTGGCGAAATCCTTTCCAACCGCACCACGAAAGGAAGCCATGGTTGAAACCAGAAGGTTGGTTATCCATTTACAAGAGAATCGACTCATTCCAGGGTGTCTTAGGTTCGTCCATCCACAGTAGGTGTCGTTTTGGGGGAAGAAGGATGGCCCTGGTTGAGTAAACCACCTGGTGAACCAGGAATCGCCATCTATTCTTTTGCCAAAACAACCAAAAACGACACCTATGGTTGGAATGAACCCAGGGATTCACCACAAGGGACGCTTTGTCAGCCTTGTCCAGACAGGAAAGGGTCATTTGAGCCTGCTCAGGGTATGAGAATTGGAATGAACCCGAGATAAGCCATCCAACTGGTGGTGTTGGGTTCATTTCCTCAATCCTTGGGCCGTTTGCTCCTGATGTTCAACCATGGCACGTGGCAGAACACATTGGCAGCCCTAAGAAACATGGAATTAGCAGCTGCTAGAAGCAAGCTGGCCTTTGCTTTGCTAAAGAAGAGGCCGATAGGCCAAATGAATCCTGCGAGACGGACCGCAACGCCTTGGCGGCGGGCAGGGGGGGGGGAAAAAATAGTAAAAGGAGAATTCAAAGAATTATTCTTTCTACTATTTTTTCTCCAACAGCAACACAACAAACAGAAAACAAAATCCAGAACAACAAGCAAACAAAATAAATAATCACAACCAGCAACAAAAATATTTCATCACAGCATACAACATTAAATAATTCAAACAAGCATACCAACAAAACAGCAACACTCTAAATCATCAAAGAACCCAAACTCAAAAACACACATCAACAAACAACAAAGCAACATACCAACAAAAAATATCACAAGAGTATCAAACAAAATAAAAAACAAACAGCCAAAACACGAAAAAATCAAAAGAGCATACCAAGTCTAAACAACGCACTTTGAAAGAGATAAGCAAATTAGGAAAATATAATAATTCAATCTTTACAAACGATAAATATATTACAATTATAACATATAATATTTTACATGTTATTATTATAGTATGAGTTCAACTTTATTCTAATTCATTATAAAATTCTTCTTTAATTCGTTTCACTATTTTATCAACTGTTTTTTCATTATAAATATTATTTCCTATTTCCTTTTTAAACCAGCCCATTACTTCAATTGCATGTATTACTGTATAACTAAGTTCATCTACATCATACTCACAACTTAAGAAATCAAAGTCATTATCGTTTAATGCTTCGTAGTTTAAACGTTTAATGCTAAAAGACATACTGTATAATTTTTTACCAAGCTGTAGTACTTCACAATAAAATCATTAGTATTTCCTTCATCATCGCCCTTATATAATAAATTATAAAACTCTTCTTCAGTCAAGAACTTATTCATTTCAATAAAAACAATTATTTCTAAATCATCATCAAGAGTTTCAGCATTTCTATTATCAAGATCCTCGTTATTCATATCACCAATTTTGTTTATAATTCTATTACAATTATCACATATCATACATTGACAAATATTATTACTAACACCATCTATAAAACCCTGTTGAATTGTTAACTTTAGCATCTCACAGTCTTTACATTTGTAATTAATAAACTTTTGTTTCAATATATTTTTAACATCAATATCTTCATGGACAGTATCACTAAATTCACTATACACACTTTCTATATCACTATATTCACTATATTCACTTTCTGTATCACTCATTTCTATCTTAATATATTAAGTCAATATTTCTTTAAGTCGTTTTCAAAGAATTTATTTTATAATGGCCGTAAGCAAGTGAGTTTATACTATCTATCCAATATTTTTTGTTTTCATAACTACTAAGAGCAATTTTTTTCGTTGTTATACTAAAAATTCTGTGGTTTTTACTTCTAATACTGTTAAATGACTTATGTATAACCTCATTAGTTTTTAAAACCGTCTCAAACTCTTCATATTTCATTTGACGTCTTACTGTGCCTTTTGCTATGCCCTTACATTTCTTATATTTTTTTATCATCACCATAAACTGAGTAAGCATAGCATTTAGGACGAAGGGCTATAAACCCTGTTATTATTTTACTTTTTAATTCATCCTTAAATTTACCTAATACTTTCTTGTTATTATCATCATAACATTTATGTTCCCTAGGATAATCTGAAAAATCTATTTCTTTTTTAATTGTATTCAGGTCTTCATAAATGTCATTGGTTTTAGTATGAAATACAAAACTATCAGTATCAGTATATACCATTTTAATATTATCTCCATATTTAGGCTTTATAACGTCATAATAAAATTTATACATGTGTTGCTTACTCAAATCTAAAATACTCATCCAAATAAATATAGGTTTGTCTAGTTTCAACTTTGTTTTTTGTTTTTCAACTCCAACCAAATTTTCATTAATGATATGACTATGTTTGAAGTTAGGATTACTTACACACTTCATATATCTAGTTTCATCACTCACAACCTCAAAATCTAAATGTTTCCTTTTATCCTCCATTGTTTTTCCAAATATGGCATTGTTCATCAATTTGTAAACATCTTTCTCAAAATCATTTCTAGCATTCTTCCTCTTCTCAGTGTTAAACTCAATGTAAGGTTTTAAAACTTCTTTTTGTTCAAATTTAATTGCTCTATGAATTTTCTTAAGTTTTAACCCTTGCTTCAAATAAAATTGCAAGGTTCTTATATGGATTACATATTTTTCTTTATCATTTAAATTCAATACTAATTTATTTGTTTTCTCATCCGTAGGTTTTTTATGATTTAAAAATTCATAAATTTCAATTTGTTTATCTGACAGCATGTCGGCTTTAACATTCATAACCTCAGGTGCCATTGGATAGTCATTGTGTAAATCGTGTAATTCTTTAGGATATTCTAAATCCACTTCTAGAATATATCCAATATTATTATTTTTGTAATTAATAATGTCTTCTTCTTTTAATGTATCATCCCATTTTAGATTTTTATATGGCAGTTTTTGTATCATGCTTAACCCGTACAAATTATTAGCATCAAAATAGTTAATATAACTACTTTCTTTATTTTTATCATATTCTTCTCCCATGTATTGATTATTTGCTTCAACTTTTTTAGTAGAAACCATACACATCCCGCCTCTAAGTCCCGCTTCTATCATTTCATACATTTCTTGGTCATATATTAAATCAATCTCTACACCAGTCATTTTAAGCATAGCATCAAAAGCAAAGTTAGGCAATGTATAATAATAAGCAGGTTCCAATCCATAATATTTCATACATACATCTCTAAAGTTTTCGAAAATGTCAGTCAATAATAATACATCAGTTTTCAAATATAAATCATGGTATTCACCCATATTCTTAATGTCGAAATGCTTCCATATATTTTTTGCCCTTTCATAGTCGTTAACACTTATACCTTCTTCACTCAACCGACTATAAAAATCGTCCTTACTCGGTAATTGCTCATCATCAAATTTATCAAATGAATTCATGTAGTCATAAGGATAAACGCCTTTATCAGTTAATAAATCTAGACATTTCTCACTCTTAATCAAATCATTTTTACTACTGAACCTAAAATTATCTTTCCAGTCTTCACGCAATAACCATTTACTTTTATCTTCTTCATCTGTATTGTCATACTTACTCATTGAAACTAACTTATCTAATGAAGCAGTTAAAAACCCAAAAGTGTCTTTAACACTCAAACTTTCAAAACTGATATTAATAAATTTTTCACTGTTCTGAGCGATGACACCTATTTTACTGTTGTTACTTAATTTATCAGCATTTTGAATAATTAAATGACCGTCATAATTTTTCATGTTATGAAAGAATACTGGAATTTTAAAATATCTATTACAAAAATTAAGATTGCAAACATTATGAGCACAACCTCTATACTTACCTGTAAAATGACAATGGTCTCTAACTTTTCTATATTTCTCTGCTTCCTTGGCATTCTTATAGTTCATTCTAAACTTATCCCCACAAATAAAGCAGTTTTTAGCATTTTTAAAATCTTCTTTGTCTTCATCAGTCATGTCTATTTTCTCGTTTTCTCCCATCTTCTCCTTTACTTCTGCCCTAATGTCATTAAGTTTTTGACAAAACACATCAACAGCATCTTTACCGCGATACATAAATTCATAATTTGTATTATCAACAGCATTAACCATATTAAGCATAAAACCACATGGTTTATGCTCTTGATAAGAAAAAGTATTTTTATCTTCATCTTCATCAGGCTTTTTCAGTTCCTCTGTCAAACATTCAAAATCAGCATATACAACAAAAGGACACCTTAACTTTTTGAAGTGATGCTTAAAACTCACTTTCTCATAAGGCTTAGGCATTACTATTTGTTGACCATCAACTTCCATGCATCCACTATCATAGTGTTTATTGAATAATTCTTCATTTCTAAATCCATGATTACAATATTTACAAAAATAGGACTTACCATTATGATTACTTTTTTGATTATTAATAAGTCTGCTCAAACTTTTTATATACACATAATGACTGCAATCCTCATCATCAACTCTTAATAAGAGTAAAATGAAAAGAAGCATCTTTATTTCTCAATTTCTACTAATAACAATTTGTTCATTATCATCAATTTCATAAACATTAATGGATATTGATTTATTTTTTCTTCAAATATATCTATATCATTATTATTAGCAGGAAAACTCACACCATCAAAAATCAAATCACTTGCTATCTTCTTGTAATGAAACATCTTTTCAGGGTGTGCTTTATCACAAATTTTACAATATCCACACTCAATAGAATATTTAAAACACTTGTCATCTTGATTTTTAATATTGATACATGCCTTTGTCTTTTTAATCCATTCTGGAAGTTCAATATATTTGCCAGCTCTAGTCGGATTATATTTATTATACATGATTTGAATATTATGAATATTACTAATTATTAATCCTGACTGATACAAAGCCATATCTAAAAT